CATCCACCTGAACTACAAATGTTCTCTATCATATCTATGCATCGAATGACCTGATCACCATCATCCTTATCATAATCATGAAGATGATGTAATAATCATCACCTACATAAGGTGATAGCAACTTGAGTTTAAAGTCCTCTCTACATATCTCTCTAGAAAAGTTGATAGCACAGTGAAACATATATATATATATATATATACTGATCATTTTCAAAAATTTAATTAGACCATCATCACTGAAACTTCGAGTGTATGAGAACTCAAACAATGACTACTCATTTGATTGTATGGAGGATTTCATCCTAAGCTGACATCAGTTAGAGAACCAGCGACTGGCCGGTCCTATTCAGGCAGTTAGTTACCTGGGGTTCTCTAGTGGGAAGCCGTGACCAGTTAGGGTACAGTAGGTTGAAGATGAGGCAGTAAGTCATCGAAGAAGACATTGAGAAGCGGGCGCGCTATGTCGTGTGTGAATTGGCAGAAGTTAGAATTCATGGACAACTGGCTGGCCATTCGATCAGTCAAGTCCCAGTGGCTCAATGGTCTACGAGGTCACCTTGTAGCATGAGTAACACACCTCCTAATCAACTCAGTAGATGCAGTTTTACAATTTCATCGATTCACTTCCCCTTCTGGCTAAACACTTTACGCCTAACCTCAGTATTATTGACCGTTTGTCTTACAGTCGTGAAGAAGGACAGGGTCAAGTGCTACGCAGTACACACACACACGTCCTTTGATGATTAACTGGATATCATACCTCATACCAGGTTCGATCCCCGGTCACCGGCTCACTCCTTTACCTCGCTTACTAAGGCAGTAATAGGACTGGCAAAGAGGAAATTTTGGGCATGAGGTTGGCTAGCAAACCCATCACGTAAAATCTTGTAATTTAGTCATATGTGGTTTAAATATGTTAAATTTATTTATTGGTGTTTTTACGGAGTTTCTTTGTGTTTCACTAATGTTATTATACCTACATGTTTATAATCGTTTTTCCAGTTTAACCACGGATTGATATCTGTTAGAGAACCACTGAAAACAAGCCACAGGGAGTACTGGAAGGCTGTTTCATCCCACTAGTTTGGGAATCTTCGGCAGCACACACCAACCACAGGGGTTCGAACCCAGGACCTTCCGGTTACAAGCCAAGCTAGCTCGCAGACCATTCAGCCACTGGGACCCAACTTAATGAATAGCCCGCAGATTCTAACTTCAACCGATTCGTGATTTTTAGCGGGACTACTAACCAGTGTTATCACCGGGAACTCCATCCTCACTCCCAGCTAGATAAATCCCACTGGTCATGACTTCTCAATAGAACTCCAGGAAACTCCATCCTGTAGCAACTCACTAGTGAGCATCTGCCTATTTGTCTGTCTGTTTCCAACATAGAACTTTGCACTGATATGCGGGATTCGAACCGCTACACATCACTTAGCACACAAAGCAAGAGAAGAAAGTAGAAGAAATGCAAAATAGAGACAGTAAACAGAGATATGAGACGAAAGGAATAGTAATAACGAAGAGCAATATAGTTTCATTGGGTATTATAAGTCACAAGGAGTGGATGCATCTGCGTCAGCCATTGACAATGAAGATTTTAAGCCATATCACAATTGTCTCCAGCCTCCATTGGTTTTTACCGTCCGGAGGATCCCAACCAGCCACTGAGGAAGTCTACACCTTCCTACGTTACTGGCTGGTTTAAAGGAACTGTTGTGGATTTCATTGACTAATGAAGCCATGTTTTGGTTCGACCACCGCTAGCTTGACCCTATGTCAGTCAGCTAACATTGCCCGTTGTCGAGGAAGGCGATGACTAGACATACATAACACATGTCCTAACCATCTCAGTCAATCGGTGTAACTTCACAGCCTCGTCGATTGGGTCCCAAACTAGTGGGATGAAACAACTGTCTGACAGTACTCTCTCTCTGTGTGGCTGACTTTAAATGATTCTATCTAACTGATATCAATGCTTGGGGTCAGTCAAACTTGACAGACAAATCAAATCTCTTCAAAAATTTGTGAAACGATATGCACTACCGGGTTTAACAATCAGCGTTGAGAAACTATTATAACTCATTAGGATAGCTGAAACATCCTGAAATAAGGACAAAAATTGCACAACGACCTACAAATTCCTACCAGTCACCCAATTACAGAAAATCTCACTTGATGAATAGAGAGAGTGTGTGTGTACACGTATAAGTTAAAGTATCGCACTTAAAAAAACAACAACGATGGAATGATCAGAAAATATAACAACACATTGTTGAAATGCATTCACACACACCTCTTGTAACTTAGTTAAGTCAATGTTTTTTGGTTTTTTCTTCCGTCCACTTTAAGAAAACCAGCAGCAACAACAACAACAACAATAACACATATTGATCAAGATTTGTAAATTTTCTTTTAGTGTCAAGTACTTCAAGCTGAGTGAAGTGAAGTTAAGCTAAGTTAAGATGATTTCGTAGAGGAGAAAAAACATCAATACCACCACTACAACCACCACCACCAGACGACGACGGACAACAACGGTCATTTTGATTTACTGATCTGATCCCACTTGAAACAATATGAATCAATCGTTGTAAAGAAAAAAGGTGCCGGGGGGGTGGTTAAACCTTAAAAGAAACAGTTGCTAATAGAGATGTTGAATATACAAAAACAGAAAGGAGAAAAATGATTTTTTTCAATGAAAAACACACGGACCTGTTCAAGGCATCAATGTCAACAAGAACACTTTATATTAAGTGTATGCGCGTGTGTGTAGAAATCCTTTGAGATATACAAGTTATGAAATATTGCCTGAGTGAGAAAAAATAGAAATTAACTAGGTAAATGTGTCAACAACAGACAATCAGAGACCAAAAGAGAGAGAGGGGAGGGAAAAGTAGCTGTTCACATCAAACGGAACTACTACTACTACTAATCAATCAATCAATCAATAATCACTCTCCTACCCTTCAACTCAGTTGTGTATTTAATTAGCCTCTATAGACACTTAAGAAAGAAAAGTGTAGTATATACTGCTTCTACCATTGCTTCGCGACCCCCAGTGGAACAAAGATTTGAAGTTTTCAAGTATTGGTTTGTAGGGATTTGGTTGATTGGTTAGAAAACCACTGGAAACCCTGGGAGTACTGGACAGCTGTTTCGTCCTAGTTTTGGACTCTTCATCAGTACGCACCCACCACCACTGGGGTTCGAACCCAGGACCTTCTGGTTACAAGGCGGTTGCGCTATATCGTGAGTTGGCAGAAGTTAGAATTCACGGGCCATTGGATCAGGTCCCAGTGGCTTAATGGTCTACGAGCTCGCTAGCCTTGTAACCAGAAGGTCCTGGGTTCGAAACCCGGTGGGTGCGTACTGCTGAAGAGTCCCAAATTTGAAGTTTTATTGAGGTGTGATATTGTTTTTGCTTTCACAAGGTGGCGGAGGGGTCGCTTGTCTCACATTCAACCTTCCATCTTTACTGGGAGCTTACTCCCAGATAAGCGGGGTTCAGCAGTTGAGTAGGCTAGAAATCAAACCCGGAACAGGTTGGTGAGTACTACGAATCATTAGACCACTGACACAATGTGAAATAGACTACATGAATTATTAATTTTGCTTTATAGGTAAAGTCGACCTGGAGTGGTACCGATAAAATATGTTTTATCTATTATTTGAATTTTTGTATCTAGTTCTTTCTTTGGTGTAGACTGAATTTTAGGTGGCTCACCATTCCGATGCACTGCACTTAGACAGTACTGATGTTGAAAGCAGTCTGCACTAAACAAAGGCCTGGACGCATGACACTAGTAACTAAATAGTGTACAATCAAAGTATTCAATAGAGTCCTATAGGAGGTCAAACGCGAGCCAGAATAGCTCAGTGGTAACGTCTCTAACTGCAGCACTCACTGGGTGACGCGAGTTCGAATCTCAGAAAGTGGGACATGAGTTCCTTCAAAGTTGCAGATACACATTTCTAACTGGTGAGTGCCAAGAAGCACGAAACCTAGATTCAGACAGCGCTCCCTAGGACTGCATTCAACCATCTAGTATTAACAATTCACACTTTTGGTGCTAACTGGATTCTAACTGAAGGAACCCTTGGATCTCGGTTTCGTGTTGTTTGACATTCGTCAACAAGTCACCGTACCCAAAACCTTGAAGGAACTAGTGACCAACCAGTGAATGTTCAGTGCAGTATTACAGGAGGTCAACCGTGACGCCGAATACCTCAAATGTGAGGCATCTGACTGAGCATTAGATTATGAGCTGTTCCAATCTCAGGAGATGCACCAGGTTCTTCAAGGTTGCAAACACCCCTTACGAATCAGCACAAAAAAGCTTGAAATTAAGGCCGATGGCTTCTTACTAATCGTCACCTCTCACAATCTAATATCAAAGGCTTACTACTCTATAAAACAAGAAATATATGCAACAAACTGGTTGCTAATGTTATTGTTTGTTTTAAATCTTCTACGGGAAAAGAATATTTTCAAATAAATAAACGACAAAAAAATTTATTGGTTGGAGGATTTCATCATGAGCTGACATCATCCAGTTAGAGAACCACTGGAAAACCGACTGGGAGTACTGGACAACTGTTTCTGTTATCCTAGTTTGGGACTCTTCATCAGTACGCACCCACACTGAAGGGTTCGAACCCAGGACCTTCTGGTTACAAGGCCAGAGAGCTAGCTTATAGACTATTAAGCCACTGGGACCCGACTGATCCAACGGCCAGTAGTCCGTGAATCCAAACTTCTGCCAATTCATGCAGGACATAGCGCGACCACTTCGTAATGTCTTATTCGATGAGTAACTGTCCTCAACTTCGACCTGATGAAATCCTCCAACAAATAATCAAACAAAATCCCTACAAAAACAAAATACCTGAAAAGATTTTTTAGCCGTATGAAGCACTCTTCAATGACTCACCCACTCATGTAGTGACACAGCAAAAATTAGTAATTAGAAAAGGGTTAAAATTAAACAACTTACTTAGATTTTCACTAGGACGTTCATCATAATTGGGGAGACACTTTAAAGACCTGAGAACAAAAGAGGATATAGTGAAGAAAGGATATGAGTTTAAGTCAAATGAAATACAAACTAACGAAAGAAAGCTTTTATTCTCTTCAGACAATGATATACATAAAACAGAGTGAGTTTACAAGACTCAACTGAATATACATATCTTATGAAGCACAGTAGTGTAGTCTTGGGCAAATTTTTCTAACTAAGTGATTAACAATACTAACCAGCGGACAATGAATGAATGTTACTCAATATCCACTTGGAATTCTATGAGGCTGGTAATTACTATTATTATTTACGTTTTATTCCTTTACATTCCCAGTGAAATATAGGGCTGCTTCAAGCTAGAGGCTTGAAGTTTCGGTAGCAGTAGTGGTGTTTATTATTTTTACGGGATGGGGTCGCTAGCCAGCCTCATACCCAACCTTCCCTCTTTACCAGTCTTATTACTGGCCTAGTGAGGTAAAGGAGGAATGAGTCGGTGGCCGGGAATCGAACCCAGAACCATCTGCATGGTTGGTGGGCATTCTACCGCTGTACCACCAATGCACTGAAGTTGTAAATGAGCTACATCTATCGTTGATTTCTTCTTAGAGTCCATGGAAGAGAAGTCAAACAAGCGCTGAGTGACTGCAAAGTCCAGAGGACGGCTGCTTGAAGCCAAAGCTCAGTAACAATGAAAGCATCTGGTTCAGTGGGGGAAATCTTAGGTGATATCACCAGGTCAATAACTATTAGCTCTTAAAATCCTGAGGATCGCAGTCAGGTTAGTCTACACTACCCTAATTGGCTTAACCAACAGTCAGAGACTCCATGGATTAGTACCATGTTTTGTTTTCAACACCCCCAACCCAATCCTATTACACCTAAGCGATGACATAACATGAGTAACACATCTCCTAATCAACTCAATAGATGCAGTTTTACAATTTTATCAATTAACTCCCCATTCTGGCTAAACACTTTACGCCTAACCTCAGTATTATTGACCGTTTGTCTTACAGTCGTGAAGAAGGACAGAGTCAACTGATACGTAGTACACACACACACACACACGTTCTTTGATGATTAAGCGGATATCATACCTCATACCGGGTTCGATCCCCGGCCACCGACGCCCTCCTCCTTTACGCTTCGCTAAGCCAGTAATAGGACTGGTAAAGAGGGAAGATTGGGCATGAGGATGGCTAGCAACCCCATCCCGTAAAAAAATAAAAACACTACTGCTACAGAGACTTCAAGCCTCTGACTTGAAGCAGCTAGCTGTTTTTGATCATGGGTGATTGCGTTCAATCTCCCGTGTGAAGTGGTATAATAGGTTGAGTTATATTGAGAATAGACATCAGTCGAGTGTTAGGTAAATAGGGGAAATCAATAGACGAGGTTGGGAAGTTACACCGATTAAGATGCTTAGGATATGCGTTAGGTATACTGGCCTAGCCATCGCCCTTCTCGACAACAGGCAATGCTAGCTGACAGAGGATGGACGAGGTTGGAAAAGAGCCAGTGGTGGTCAAACTAAAACATGACTTCACCAGCCAATGAAATCCACAACAGTTAGTTTAAGCCAGTCAGCCATGTAGGAAGGCGTAGACTGTCTCACTGGTTAGGGTCGTCGGGACGGTAAACACCAGTGGCTGGATACAATCGGTGATATGGCTGGCTCAAAATCATTCTTAATGGCTGGTGCAGATGCATCCACTCTTTCTGACTTATAATACCCAGTGAAACTATATGGCTCTTCGTTATTACTATTCCTTTTATCTCATATTCCTGTCTACTGTCTCTATTTCGCATTTCCTTTTACTTTCTTCCCTTGCTTTGTGTGCTAAGTGAAGTGTGGAGACTCGAAATGCTGCATATCTGTGCAAAGTGGTTCTACATTGAAACCAGTCAATCAATCGGTCATACAAATACTGTCTTCGCACTAACAAAAACAAAAGCAAAGTCTGTGTTGGATGGAACACAAATACTTGGCGAAAAAAAGAATAAAGCTTGAAGTCACAGTATCGGATCTTAATCTTGATTTATAACCATATAAACTGCTAACTCAAAAGTGAGTAGTATATTCGTATCATTTTCTAAGTAGTATCATCGTAGGACACCACCACATCAGAAGTGAAGTATGCTTCATGAGGACGAATATCAGCCATCGCCATGTAGGTTTGTGTTTTACTACATCAAATGGATGATGATTGTTCTCCAAAGTCAGGAGGCGATTAGCGCCATTTTCAGCTGCATGGTGGTGGTTGACTGAGACGTGGAAAACTGTCTGGAAATCAGTTTTCCCTTCAATTTAGATCATTGCAGCACTCCCACCTTAAGAAAAATTGAAGAAAGATATCTCATTGATGTCTTCCAAACGAATGGATATCCACGGAATTTCATCAAAAGACATATCCCCACAAGCCAACCTATCAAACCAAAAGCCCCCAAGGGAAGCACAAAGAAAATCGCCTTACCATATATAAAGGATATATCAGAAATCACTGCAAGACTCGTCAAACCTTTAGAAACTGACGTCGCACACAAACCAACAAAATCACTTCACTCAGCCAGCCCTGTGTCAACCAAAAGACTCAACAGTGAAAGTAGATAAAACCAAAATCACCTAGAAAATAAACTGTAACAACTGCGAAAAACACTACATTGGCCAAAGTGGACGTCCCCTTCGTCTTCGTCTTCTCATCCATGATCATAAACTAGCCGTCAAAAGACATGACATCCACTTCCTCTCTCATATCACTCACTGCATACAGACAACCATGGTTATCAATTCGACTGGGACAACCAACGTTCAAATATTAGACAGACAGAGGAAACACCAAGAATGCTAGAGAATTTTTAGAAGCCAGCCTGGTATTCCAGTTAATCGTCAATCAATAGACACATCGAGATAGACAAAATGTATCAACCGATAAGAAAGAAACCTCACACACAAAGAGTCAAAGTTCAAGTCAAAGAAGCAATCAATTTCAATACAAGTAGCCGCCTAGAAGGTGTGAAAACACACAAAAACAATCAAGGAGTCACGTCCAAGGTCACCAACCAGGAGAGATGACTAATAAACTCGTGGAGAAATCTAAAAGCTCACTTCAATTCAAATTGAAGTATGCGCTAAAGATGTCGCCTAGTATGGGGTGATGAAAGCTTCGCAAATTAACTATCCAGCAAGCTCAGAGAACACAACAACATCAAAATCATCCACCTGAGCTACAAATCTTCTCTATCATATCTAGATCATGAATACTGTTCAGAAAGAGTGTTATTCAGTACCCTCAAATGGTTACCTGGGATCTTTTAAGGATGTTGAAGTTATCCTGAACCAAAAGAGCTTGATGAATGATATGGTATATGTACGTAAGTGGCTTTAAATCCTGTTTAACTTCAGTCATACTGTAGGTTTGTACAACTTCCCCTAATATGTTTCTATTCAATTTTTCTGTTTATATCGTTATTAATTTAATATTTAATCCGTTACCAAGTCTTCTCCCATTACAGTAGTTATATTAGTTACCTAAATACAAAACAATTTTCAAATACAGCTGTTATATATATATATGTGAGAGTTAGTCATCCTTGCCTTATTTCTCCCATTATTTCATCATTCTCTCTCTTTACGCTTCCTCCCTTCCTTTTTCCCTAATGTATCACATCTAACTAACTCTTTTAAGCCGAAAAATGACACAACTCCATTTCAATGATAATGAGACAATTACAGAAATGTGCAATATGGAATAACAGCTGTACACCATAAAAATCCATTACAGCTAGTTGCTAGAAATTAGGTTAATGGGGATGATAACTCCAAACTGGAGACGTCGCGAGGGGTGGGGTGGGTTGGTGTGGAGGGTGAGGCAAAACAAAACACACACACACTAGAACCCAGCCTTTTAGCTGATTGCATTCGGCCACACAGCATCTGGTAGCCATAAGCAGCATATCTTTTACAATCCTAAAACAACTTATATATATAATATATACATGTAACCAGAGTTAAACACAGAAATTCACTCTTTTAATCAACATTACGGTGCACTTTGAAATGTTGCTATTAGATGGTTGGAGGCAATCGGAACGATCCAGGTTTCGCGCTCGCTGGCACTTCACCAATCACAGGAAGGTGTCACCCAGTGAGTACTGCAGTCAGAGACGTTACCACTGAGCTATTCAGGAACACCCTTCATTTGATGATATTAGATGGTTGAAGGCAATTGGCCACAGGAAGCCTTGCTTGACCTAGGTTTCGTGCTAGTTGTCACTCGTCAGCAAGGTTGCAGATACACCTTCCTGTGACTGATGAAATGCCAACAAGTGCAAAACCTGGGGTCAAGCTGGCTTTCCTTCCTATTGCCTCCAAACGTCTATTATCAACATTTCAAAATGCGCCGTAATATTGAGCAAACTAGGAGGGTGGTCATATTGCATACTTGACTCCGACAGAGTCCAGTCTGCGCTAAAGAAGGGACTAGGCACATCACACTAGTTACTGACTAGTGTCCAATAAAAAAACGTTTCATTATCAACATGTTTCCCTAATGGACTTAGGTTATTAAAAACACATTTTTCTAATATACAAAGGGTTTGTGAGTCATACTTATGACACAAGAGCGGATGGTAGAGCGGGATTCACAACCTGGGAGGGGGGGACTCTGCTGCCTGAAAGTTGAATGATTCACCCGACACCCAAACACAGTTATCAGCGTTTTATCTCCTGTATTAGGTAGTATGATATGAGGAGGAATATTGAGGTTGGCCGTACAACTCTACGTCGTCGATAGGGTTGCGACGGTGAATTGATTGTGATAGCCATTACAAGCAGCTGTTTATGTCGACCAGCAACGTTAGCTGACATCTGACTAGGTCGGAAATAGTTAGCAATGGTCAAACCGAAACCTGCCATCAGTCCATGAAGATGCTTTAAGCCAGTCATGTAAGAAGGTGTAGGCTGTTTAGTTTGGAGTCCTTGGGACGCCCAAGAATTATTGGCTACATAATTTTCATGATATGACTCGGTAGCGCAGATGAGTTTGTAACAGATTAATTGTTTGGGAAATCCCCAACCCAATGATCCAACCATAATATTATTAATATTTATTTCAACGTTTCAACTAACTCTAATTATTCTCCGTTTTTCCTCTGTACTGTATATCTTTGTTCTCACATTTGCATATCACAGGTTGGTTTGATCCTTATTAGTGTTTGCCTTTGTCCCTCCCCCTGTTTAATCTCTAATTTTAATGCTTCTCTTTGTCATCGTGAGAGACATTGATTGATAATGTGGTGTTTTACGACAATGTGATTTTGTTTGAGCCATGAGTCAAAGTCACTTCTGACCTTGGACTGTCTGAGGCGAGAATTGTTGGTATGTGATTCTTCTGGTGGACAGAGTTTTGATCCCACCTTGTTGAGAATATTCTACTTGATTCCCACCTACTTCTGATACTTGTATTTTGATCAACTAATTTTGTTCTACACCACTTGTTTTGTCATGCCAAGTAATCCACAACGGGAAACTCACGGAATCCTTTGAAGTCAAGAAGGGAGTAAGACAAGTCTGGCTGCCCACTGCTATCTTCAATGATTTTCCTGATTGCGGTAGACTGGGTAATGCGACAAACAGCAGGCTGGGCAGCGAGGAGACAGGCATTAAATGGACCCACACAAAAACTTGGGGGATCTGGACTTCGCCGATGATATGTATCTGATTCCCCACTCACTCAAAGATGTACAAGTGAAAAGCAACAAGTTGGCGATAGAAGAAGCATCCAGAGAATATAGGACTTCACGTGGACATAGAGAAAACAGAGGTGATGAAGATTCCTGGGCAACACCATCAACAGCAACAACAACAACAACAACAACAGACAACAATCAGCATAAATGGGAGAAATCTGAAAGAAGCAACCTACTTTACCTACCTGGGAAGCATCGTTTCAACTGCAGGCGGAACTGACGAGGATATCAAAAGCAAGACAAGCTTTCATTACTCTCAAGTCTTTGTGGAGATCAACAGCACTCAGCCTGAAAAATAACATCCGGATTTTTAACTTCAATTTGAATTCAGTGCTATTATACGGACGAGAGACCTGGCGAGTCATGAAGAGCACTTCAAAAACTACAGACCTTCATCAACACCTGTCTTCGCTCAAGATGAGATGGCTGGTCAGAAAAGATCAGCAGCAGGGATCTCTGAGAGCGAGCGAGCGAACCAATCCAGCAGGAACCAACTGTACAACAAATATGCAGGAAGAAATGGAGGTGGATTGGATTGGCCATACTCTGAGAAATCAAACCATCAAGTGAGTAACATCATACGTCAGGCCATCACTCGAGTGGAACCCGAATGGGAAGCGGTGAGTTAGTCGGTCATCAGTGCGAGGGTAACATGAAGGAGGTCATGTGAAGAGGAGATGAAAGCATGTGGGCAGACGTGCAGCCAGGTGAAAACGTTGGCGGAGAACCGAACGCAGTGGAGACGTGCGACTAAAGCCCCATGTTCCTCTAGGAACTAAAGGAAACAATAATAACAAGTACTTGTTTTGTACTTAGAACGTACTCTTGACTGTATAGCTGTCTAACAGCACAGTTGAGGTGATTTTGACTTTTTAATGTTATTATTATTGTTATCATTGAATAGAACCACATAGATCTGGAGACGAATAACAGTCTTTTTGCTGTCCTTGTAGCGTTTTGTTGACTGTGTGCATGCCTCAAGGATGTTTCGGTTAGCCTTATACAGTAAGACGCAGAGATCAGTCTCCCAGCGTTCAGATTAAACAACAAGTCTCTTTTAGTAGTTTTACAGTATTCACTCCCTTGTAATCTTCCTGCTTTATTTCCAGGTTGCTATTAGTCTTCTTCCTCACATGTTCTGATCACATTATAGTACTTTTAAATTCATTCTCTCTCTATTTGCCTTCTCTCATTTCTCTGCCTTTATGTGCTATATTGAATGTGGACTGGTGCACTTCTGTGGACAATGTTCTGCGTTGGAACTCACATTCACAGTAAGTCAGTCAGCCAACCCTACATCTTCATATCTCATTACAAAAAATTACGTAAATCATAGAAAAGCCTGAAAGAAACAAAGTGTATACTCACTAACGACTGGCCCTATTCAGGCAGTCACCTGGGATTCTAGTGAAAAGCCGTGACCAGTAAGGTACATCAGGTTGAAGGTGAGGCAGTAACTCATCGAAGAAGACATTGCGAAGTGGTCGCGCTGTGTCGTGTGTGAATTGACAGAAGTTAGAATTCACGGACTACTGGCCGTTGGATCAGTCGGGTCCCAGTGGCTTAATGGTCTACGAGCTAACTTTCTGGCCTTGTAACCATAAGATCCTGGGTTCGAACCCTTGTAGTGGATGCATACTGCCGAAGAGTCCTAAACTAGGACAACAGAAATAGCTGTCTAGCAGTACTCCCTGTGGCTGGTTTTCCAACGGTTCTGTAAACTGATGTCAGCTCATGATGAAATCCTCCAACGAATCAAACAAACAAAATCCCCACGTATAGTTTACGCCAAAAAAGAAAAATGAACTTACATGGATACTTTAGCTTTACGCAATCCAAATTGCTGTTGTTGTTGTTGTTGCTGTTGCTGATGGTCTGAAGTTGTATGATTTACTACTATGCCATTAATATTACTATTATTGTTTGTTGTAGTTGTTGTAATATCTTTAAGACTGCATAAATTGGAATTGCACACTTGAGTTGAATCCTTGGCAGCACTTTTCTCTTGTAGATATGCGCGTAAAAAGTTGAAATATGCCGCCCAAATCTGTACATCATAAAAAAGAGATCAGAGCATCAGATTAAATTTCAAGACTTTATTTGAAGGGATTTGTTTTGTTTTCGTCAAGTTTGACCACGGGTCGATATCAATAAGGGAGTACTGGGAAGCTGTTTCATACTAATAGTTTAGAAATCATCCAAGGACTCCAACTAAGGGCCCTCCGGCTACAAGACAAGCTAGATCGTAGACCATTTAGCCACGGGGACCGAACTAAGTGGTCCATGAATTCTCTTGTTATTGGCCACAGAATTAGGGTTCCCTGGAGTTCTAGTGAGAAGTCGTGACCAGTAGGATCCACAACAGGTCAGTAGTGAGGACGTATGCTCAGCAAGGATGACACTGGCTGGTGCCAGTCGCTAAATCACGAATTGGTGAGTAGAAGTTAGAATTCATACGTTGACCACTCAGGTGTCAGGTCCCAGTGACTGAATAGTATACGAGCTAGCTTGACTTGTAACCGGAAGGTCGTCATGAGTTCGAAACCCAATAAGTGCATACTAGGATGAAACAACCGTACGATACTTTCACCTAGTTTTCAGTGGTTCTCTAACTGATATAGATCTATGATCGAACTTGAAACAGGATTGTAAATATGTGCTAAAAAGTTACCTATATATGTATATGTATGCATCAGGTTACAGATGATGAGTCCTGGACGCGACGAAACTTATACCCTGAATTCCACTGTTAGTCTCTCTCCATTTAACAAGCAAATACACATGATGAGTATTTGTCACAAGCATAAATTCTTCTCATTAAATCAACCTGGACATCAGTTACACGTAGAATAAAACTATTACAAATGAAGGAGAGGCTATCTTTTAAGAAGACATTTTACCTGGTGAAATTATATATATAAACCTAGACAAATGAAGATAGAAGTAAAAAGGTATGTGTCTTCAGTTAGAGGGATCATTGCAAACCAGTGGGAAGAACTGCGCAGTTATTTCGTCCCTGTTTGAGACTCTTCGACGAAGTAGTCAACACCCATGACTCTACGCCAAGGATAGAACCCGGAACCAAGCCATTTCAGCAGGAATTCAGTGACTTGTGATGCAGGTAGACACCATAACACGAATTGAATTCTCCGGCTCAATTGGCTGAATCGTCAACAAACTTGGTCTGGTAACCTGAAGGCCTTGGGTTCGACCCATGGTGAAGAGTCATGGTCATGCACTGCTCTGCTGAAGAGTTCCAAACGAGGACGAAACAACTGTTCAATACTCCCTGGTTTCCGATTATCTTTCCCAATGATGTCGGTCTGTGACGGAGTCTAACAGCTCAAATCAATCCAAACCTCTACAAATCCGGTCATCTGATATACTTGGGGATTGTAATAACACCACAATAAAAGCCATCTGCAGATTCAATCTTAAAGTATTGATTTTTATACTTACTTTCGATTAGACGGCACAATAGTTGATGCTGGATATCAGTAGAATTCAGCTAAATCTGCCAGCATCCATAGTGAGTGGTGTATTATCAATGTAGTTCCATCATCCATGACTAGGGATGCAGGCACATCCAGCTGATGAGTCCCGAATGGGAAAAAACATACGTCTTAGATTCCATCGCTAGACACCGTCGACAAAATAACTTAATGATTCAAACTCAGTTGCCTGTAACAGATTTTTTTATCGATCAGGCTATAAAGTCACCCTTATTGTAATGGGGGGAGGGGAGTGCGTTCCAACCCTAGACCCCCATTGGCTGGGAGTAAGAAGTGTACTAGTAGGCAGCTGATGAATCACATTTCTACAAGAACAAGTCCAAAAACATAAATATACTTATATACACATATATCAATCAATAAGAAACACTAGTATATCTCACCTCACAAAGGTTATAAGGTAATGGTGTTGGAAACATAATGTCAATATCATCTGAAGATGTTATAATACAATGAGGTGTAATTGTACTACCGTATTCATCTGAAAAGAAGAAAGATTACAGGAGTCAGTATAAGGCTTAGTAAATCAGAAGAGCTGTCTACACTTTATAATAATAATAATAATAATAATAATTTGCTTTATTCCAGAAACAGTACTAATGGTACAAGTGTGGAATTTTCAGCACAATATCTACAATATTTGCATCTAATTTTATCCAAACTTTAAAAGGAGTATTTTCAAAAAAATAAATATAAAGACACCAACAGCAAAAAAACGCAGGATAAACACAAAAATAATTTTAAAAAAGGCGAAAATATACCAAGAAGCAGAAAGGAAAATAAATAAATAATATCTCAGTATTGGATAATGGAAGCTATGATGTGATTATGCATGGTGACAGGAAAGCTATAGTCATACAAGAAGTTATGAAATGATATTTAAGAATGTTTATCGCCAAGATGATCAGTTAATTTGGTTGAAACAACAGTAAACAATCATAAAATAACATTTCATGGTTGTTGTTTTGTTTTTTATTGTCAGGTCTAATGCAGTGTTTGTAGTGGAAGTGTGAGTAATCCTGAATAATACAAAATTTTTTAAGGTGGTGACTATGGCGTTCACAACCAATGATTGTCAGTTTAATATTGCCGAAAAGTATAGAAAATAAGAAAAAACAACCACAAAACTAATAATTACATGATGGTTAATGACAGGACAATTTTGTAACACTCACAGTGCTAATATAGTTGGAACCAGTAGATACACAAAAGAAGGAATACAGTAAAGTACAAAAAGTAAGCCAATGTTAATAATTTAGGTAGCTAAGTATGTTTAAGAAGGAGTTCACTATATAATAAAACAAAGTAGGGGATGTAGTCTATGGCTTCACATAATTGTCTTTTAATCAGTGCCATATACGTAACAGGAACACTGTTGTCAATGTTGGTTAACATTAAAAATAGTTTGTTTATTGGAACTGGTCTCCATTGGCGGGTGACAAGAAGGCTGTCATTGCTTAATCGTTTACTGGTTGGCAGAAAATTGGAGAAATACGATAGTTGTAGAACATGATATTAGATAGTTGGAGGCTATCGGAAGGAGGAAGCCTTGCCTGGACCTAGGTTTCGTGCTAGTTGGCACTCACCAGTCAGCAAGGCGTATCTGCAACCATGTTGAAGGAATTCATGTCCCTCCTCCTGAGATTCGAACCCGCGTCACCCAGTAAGTGCTGCAGTCAGAGACGTTACCACTGAGTCAGCTATTCGAACTCGCGATTGACCTCCTGTAGGACTGTAGTGGGTAATTTGATTGGACACTAGTGATTAGTGCGACGTGTCTGGTCCTTTCTTAGGTGTAAACTGAATTCTATCAGTCAGTCAGGTTTGCAATGTGGCCACCATTCTAGGTAGCTCACCATCACGGTGTACATTGATTTGACGATATTAGATGGTTGGAGGCAATCGGCCACAGGAAGCCTTGCTTGACCTAGGTTTCGTGCTAGTCGGCCCTCACCAGGCAGCAAGGCGTATCTGCAACCTTGAAGGAACTCATGTAGAACATATTAACGTTTATTTACAGACTTTGCCACTCAGTGTAAATCTGTTTCATTATCTGTTGTTCTGCGTCGAATGCAGTGCGCAGTGTTCTGTGTATTAAGCCTAGTCTTCTGAAACCGGCGATAGGTCCAGGATCTCTGCTATCTGGATAATTGACAAGTTTTCTATAGTTTGGTTTGTAAGGGTTAGTTTTGTTTTTACGAGTTGATCACGGATTGATATCAGTTAGAGAACCATTGAAAACCAGCCACAGGGAGTACTGCCAGACAGCTGTTTCATCCCACTAGTTTGGGAATCATCGGCAGTACGCACCCACCACTGGGGTTCCAACTCAGAACCTTCCGGTTACAAGGCAAGCTGGCTTGTATACCGTTCAGCCACCACTGGGACTCGATCCGATTCAATGGCCAGTCAGTGCATAAATTCTAACTCCTACCAATTCGTCATTTAGCTCGACTATCACCAACCAATGTCGTCGGTGGGACATCCATCCTCACACGTGACATCTGGATGGACCTCACTGGTCAAAACTTGTCACTACAACTCCAGGAAACTCCATCCTGTAGCAAGTCACTAGCGAGCACATCAGATTAATTTTCTATAGTTTGGTTTGTAAGGGTGCGTACTGCCGATGATTCCCAAACTAGTGGGATGAAACAGTTGTCTGGCAGTACTCCCTGTGGATGGTTTTCAATGGTTCTCTAACTGATATCAATCCGTCCGTGATCAACTCGTAAAAACATAATTGACAAGTGTTGTTAAGTGGTTCCTCCTCAGTGGAAAAGACAAAGAAGCCTTCAAAGCGAAGGCAGAAGTAAGACTAGTAAGCTACGCGCCTACTATCACCAATGATATTCTTAATTCTGGCGGGGATTGAATTGCTTGGAAAACTCTACGTTGGACCGATAAGGAGAATCCAAAAGATCTGGATATCAAAGGCGGACGATTTGTGTCTAATGTCACACAAACTGGAAGACTTACAGGCAATAAACCAGCAGACTGATATAGGAGAAGCAACCGGTGACCATAGGATTTGAAGTGAACACAGAGAGAAGACTGTGGAGGACTGTGATGAAGACAACTGACACTAACAACAGCAGGAAGCACCAATCACTATCAGCGGAATAAATTTGAAAGAGGTCACTTCCTTTACTTGTCTGGCTATGGAAGTATCGTTTCAATTACAGGCGACAAGGCGGGTGAGGATGTCATAACAGTCGTTGGAAAGGCAACAAAAACCTTCATCACTCTGAAATCAGTTTTTGGAAATATTCTTCACTCAGCGTAAAGAACAAAATTCGAATTTTCAACACAAATGTGAAGTAGGTTCTTCTTTATGAGTCAGACACATTTGGCAAATCACGGAAAGCATTTCCCCCACAACAAGCCATAGCAGATTTTCATCAACAGCTATCTACACCTGGAAACTACTACGCTACTATGGGGTGCCACCGACATTTATACATCTCATCCAACAGCTGTACGACAATGCTGCTTGCCAAGTAATCCACAACGGGAAACTTACAGAATCCTTCGAAGTGAGGACAGGAGTAAGACAAGCTGGCTGCTTATTATTGCCAATGATTTTCCTGGTTGCTGTAGATTGGATAATGCGACAAACAGCGGGCAGCGAGGAAACAGGCATAAAATGGAACCTCACGAAAAACTTGGAGGATCTGGACCTCACCGATGATATATGTCTGACTTGTCACAAACTGAAAGATATGCGAGCGAAAAGCAACAAGTTGGCTGAAGAAGCATCCAGAGAAGATAGGACTTCAGGCGAACATAGAGAAAACAGATGTGGTGATGAAGATTCCTGGACGAGAACAACAACAACAGACAGCGATCAGCATAAATGGGAGATATCTGAAAGAAACAACCTCTTTTACCTACCTGGGAAGCATCGTCTCAACTACAGGTGGACGGAACTGACGAGGATATCAAAGCAACGATCGGGAAAGCAAGACAAGCTTTCATTTCTCTCAAGTCTGTGTGGAGATCAACAGCACTCAGTATGAAAATTAAGGTCCGGATTTTCAACTCCAATTTGAAGTCAGTGCTACTTACTATACGGATGAGGGACTTGGCGCGTCATGAAGAGCACCTCAAACAAACTACAGACCTTCCTTTACAGCTGCCTACGCTCAACACTCAAGATCAGACGGCCGACCAGAAAAGATCAGCAACAGGGATCTTCCGGAGCGAACCAACACAGCAGGAACCGATTGCGCAACAAATAGGCAGGAAGAAATGGAGATGGACTGGCTGGCCATACTCTGAGGAAACCATCAAGTGACATCACTAGACAAGCCATTGCTCGAGTGGAACCTGAATGGGAAGCGGAGAGTTGGTCGTCCAAGAGTGACTTGGAGGAGGTCATGAGATGAGGAGATGAAAGCATGTGGGCAGACTTGGAGCCAGGTGAAAACGTTGGCAGAGAACCGAACGCAATGGAGACGCACGGCTGAAGCCCTATGTTCGTCTAGGAATTAAAGGAAACAATAAGAAGAAGAATATCTACACCTGGCCAGAAACAATTAGTAACCGGAAATTCTGGAAACGAACCAACCATTTAGTTAAAGTATGATAGAGTACAAAATCGTGCATGTCTAGACTTGGTTTTTAACGGCACTACTTCAAGTTTATATGTGTACTTTGAGTAGGCCGTAGTATATAATATATATATATATATAATCTTGGTGTGTATGTATGCCCATGGGTTTGACTTCGAGGCATATATATATATATTCGCGGAAAAAAGAGAAAATAGATATCAAGTAACGATAGATTCTGTAAATGTCTTCTTCAAGCACATATGGCTGGCTGTTTCGTTTTATGCCCTATTTATGCACTAATACTATGCATAATACCATACCTTAGTGTCTGTTTATATTGCGTCATAGAATGTGTGTGTGCAATGGGTAGTAGATTATGATTTTTATTTTGACGAGTGATTCACCATTCGGTGTATTTTTCATGCTGTGAGTTTTACTTGGACAAAATAAAAACAACAGAGGATATATACATATATATACATTTATTTTAGTTAAATTTTGATTTTTCTATCAACTGATTGAACCGAAATGTTCAGAGTCTGTTGATATATCACCTCGACGTTGTCTGGCGAGTAACTAGCAGTAGTATCCACTAGAATGTGCATTTCATCTTATTTGGGACTCGTCATCTGGGTACCAGGTTGCGAACACCACTGAGAATGTAAGTCTACACCCAGACGCCTGACTGAAAGCTGCTACCTTGACGTGGTGGTCGGGTTTGAACACCGTAATGACCCAACAAGCTATACTGGCTGAGACTTATGTTGCTTGAGGTCCTATCATGCCAGAAAGCCTGTTTGGATAGAGGTTAGACGAAAAGCAGTTGCCCAATCCAATGCTATGATTCAAACAAAATCACAAAATATCATGCCGGATCGGTCGGGGCCCGGATTAACAACGACCGCGCTTCCTGCTGCCATGTCACAGGGCACAAGTGATAAATATGCTACTGAGACACACCAAACAAGAAAGAACAAACAAAAACAGGCCGCGTGTGACCGGCCTCAAGCAGTTGTCCCCTGGGCTTTGAGGTCAGGCAACCAACTTCCACGGTGTGGGCAGCCGGGAAGTAACAATCGCCCTCACAATCCTACACCCAGACGACGAGTCCTAAACAGGATGAAACGAAGGTCGTAGTGAATTCTACCGCTAGTTACTCCACAGACATCGTCAAGGCATCCTTACTAGGACGTGCCAATATGTGAACAGACGCTGAACATTTCGGTTTAATCAACGAACGGGAAAATCAAAATCCAATTAAAAATAGATGATAACTGATACCCACTGCACAATAGGTGGCTCTCATGGTCCAAGTGGTCTAGTGGATAATGCATTTGGCGTTTGAAGCGATGGGTACTGAGTTGTAGCCTCTGTCGGGGGTGGGTGAACGCCATCATCACTCATTGGGAATCCACGTGTACACATCCAGATGACGAGTCCCAAATAGGACGAAATGTGGTGTATCTTGGTGGTTTCCACAGCTAGTCATCATCCACCACACACACACACACAAACAGGTTCAACACTAGAAAAGCGGAACGCACATCTTCAAATATGACTTAAAATACTCACCTGATGGCCGAACAAGTGCCCATCTCCGTTGACCAGCAGATATTGGAATTCTGGAGGAATTCGCCCCCAAACCAAACGGGAAGTATGATCCAGAGATAAGTGAACTAGCTGCATAACTTGTTGAATTCCGTGCAGAATAATAAAACTGTTGATTGGTGTTGATTGTAGGCTTAACAGCTGAATGTAGTGGTGTGGTCGTTGGTGTCGTTGTTGATGATGATGCTGCTGAATTAATTGTTGGATACAGTGTCATAGTAGATTTACGACGAGCAATATTCCCTAGTGGTAATGGAGTTTGACAAGATGGTCCAGATAATGACAAGATACCACCACCACCGCCATAACCACCAGTACGACGATTCTTTGAATTATAACCACGTAATCCACTCGACTGATAATTGGCTACACTCCAGGGACTTGATGAAGCCGATAGATTTGTATGCTGTCCATCGGACATAACAACATCCATCGCTATTGGGAAAAGAAAAAACATTTTGTAGCAATTAATTAAACAATAATCAAATTAAATCTTTTAAAAAACAAACGCATACACATTGAATTATGCTAAGAGACTGTCGTCAACTTGAAAGACATTCGTGGTGATTAAAATGCAGAGTCTTCTGAACACACCTGGAGCAGAAATCTTCAAATGTATGGTGTGCGATTTTTCCTCCCAATCATATGTAAGATGATTCTGCAGGACTCGAATATATCGAGACCCACCTTAAAGATAGGGAGTGAAGTGGCTGGTGGAGCGTGTTGACCACTACTTCATTTATTTGGGAGGCTGCATCAACCTCAACGGACTGACCGTTGACGAAATATCAGAACGGATATTGAAGGCTAGCGTAGACGTGATATCTCGTTGGCTATCGATCAAAGGATATGTGTACTGCTCTCAGAAGTTCACTCCGGCCTCCTTTATAGCTGTCAGGCAGACATGACCAATGAAAGTGGAAGATATGTCTGTCTGTTTTCAACATAGAACAATTTTGCACTGATGTGCAGCAGTTCAAGTCACCACACTCCATGTAGCACACAAAGCAAGAGAAGAAAGTAGATGAAATGCAGAATAGAGGCAGTAGACAGGGATATGAGACAAAAGGAATAGTAATAACAAAGAACAATATATTTTTATTGGGTATTATATGTCACAAGAAATGGATGCATCTGCGCCAGCCATTAAGAAAGATTTCGAGCCAGCCATGTCACCATTTGTCTTCAGCCTTTATTGGTGTTTAACGTCCCAAGAACGCCAACCAGGAAGTTTACACATTTCTATGTGGTTTAAATTAACTGTTGTGGATTTTATTAACTGAAGAAGCCATGTTTTGGTTTGACCACCACTAGCTAGGTCTTTTCCAAGCCGACCCTATGTCAGCTAACATTGACCGTCGAGGAAGGCATACGTAACACATATCCTAACCATCTCAGTTGATGTAGCTTTACAGCCTCGTCTATTGATTTCCCCTCCTTACCCAGCACTCAACGCCTAACGTCAGTATTGCTTACCCTTCTATACCACTTGATATGAAGATATGAGAAGCCTGGCTAGCTGTCTTTGATCATAGATGTCTGTGTTCTGTCTCGCATGTTAGGTGGTATAATAGAATGAGTAATATTGAGGCGTTAAGTGTTAGATAAGAATGAAAAGGCAATCGATGAGGACTTCTGTCACGCATCCTTAGCCATCACCTTCCTCAAGGGTCATTATTAACTGATACAGGATTCGATTGCAGTGTAGAGAGAGGTATAGACTACCCTATTTGAGGACCTCAGGATGGAAAGAAGCAATGACTGATATGGCTCAAATCGTTCTCCTATTAACTTTCCATGTTACTATTCTTCCTCCCTCAAGGTTATGCTCATTAATGTTCTTCTTAATATCTTTTTTCCTGTCTTTCATCAGACTGTGGCAACTCGAACTTCTGTACGTCTGTGCAGAGTTCTACGCGTTCAAGTCAGTCAGTCAGTCAGTTATCTTATGTTTTGAAGTTGAATACTAGCGTTATACATGTGTGTCGCAGTTACGCCTTGAGGACCATTCCGAGGACCCCACAACTAGTCAGGTAGTCTACACCTCCCGCCTGCATGACTGGCTCAAAATGAATTGTCTAAAATCACTTCATGGATTTGACCTCAGGTTTCGCTTCCATCACTCCTGTGGAGTACGTAACAATATGATTGGACATTTTTTTGTTAGATGTTGAAATTAGAGACATTGTATATGACTTTTGTTTAAAAACGAATTCATGTTGGAATATAGATAACTTCCGAGTACAATCTAAAATACAGTGTGTAATGCTGGCCGTTTCGTCTTCTCACTGGTCTGTACTGTCTACTTGCTTCACTCATAACCGTGTTGTATACTTTGGATTTATTGCAGGAACCTCTTATCCTCATACGAAGACAATTCTACAACCGGTACACAGCTTCTAGCAGTAGACACAACTCCTGCAGTGAATGCTCCTGTGGATTATATTGATAATTTGTAGTCGTCGACTTTAACTGTATATCCAAGTAACCGTTTAATTAATAATAACTCATTACTGTATTTTTTGTAATATACTGTCAAGCTGTCATCTCAATAACTTGGATTTTTATTCACATACTTGTTATTATATTGAGCTCGCTAGACGACAGTCCCCTACACCCCTAACTCTTTTCTTTCCAAACCGAATTCAATGCCGACTACGGTTGATCCACGAGGAAGGCGGTGCCTCAGAATGCATCATATATATATATATATATAAGTAGGAAAGTTCCAGAATAATTTTTCTGGTCAAGGGTCAAATTAACAAAATTACAATTAGTAATTAAAATGCCATAATACACAGTGGCGGGATGGGTAAAGCTCAGACAAAGTAGCATCATAATTACTGAGAAGATTGACATATTGTGCAATCAGGGATTAAATATGTAAAAATAGTAAAGTGACAAAATAGACAGGAAGTTTGGATAAGAAAGCCAATGGGATAGTCACTCTTAGAAGAATTACCTGTTTATGATAGCCATGGAAGGGACAGGGGTTGGACGTATTTCTTTTGGATGGCTAGTACCTCCTTTATACCCAGATGTCTTAATTTTACTCCCTTTTATAGGTTCGATAGAATTTCGTATATTATTCTAAAGAATTTTTCGAATGGCGCTGAATGTCCTGAATTGACCAGATGTTCTGTCACTGAACTATGTAGACGTTTTTGTTCTCCTAATACTAGCCAGGCTGGATAGTGTTCACGAGAGCGTTTTTCAAGTTGGAGCATGGTACGGCCGATATACCATATTTTTTCATATCCGAACTTCCTGTCTATTTTGTCACTTTGATTATTTCTACATATTTAATCCCTAACTGCATAAACAATTATTCGTCACATTAATTATGATCCCACTAGATTTTGTTTTCGAAACATCCTGTCTATTGTTGTTATTTGTACATTTTTCTAAACCCTAATTGCACAATATGTCAATCTTCTCAGTAATCATGATGCTACTTTGTTTGAGTTTTATCCGTCCCTCCATTGTGTATTATGTTATTTTAATTCATAATTGTAATTCTATTAATCTGACCCTTGACCAGAAATTATTCTGGAATTTTCCTACCCATTTATTATAAATACACGAATGTACAGCTCTCTAGTTGATAATTTCGGCGAAAAGGAAACTTTCTTCGCTGCAATTGTCTTTTTATTCCCTATGATCAAACGTGTATATTCAGTGATAAATATATATATATACACATATATATATATTATTGTTCTCTTGGGTTCCTAGTGCAACATAAGGCTTCAACTGCACGTCTCCACTTGCTGCTTCTGTCTTCTGCTGTACTTTTCACTTGCATCCATGTTAGTCCATACTGTTTCAACTCCTCTTCACACGATCTCCTCCATCTCACCCTTGGACGTCCCACTCGCTGCTTCCCACTCGGGTTCCACTCGAGCGTTGGCCTGACGCACGATGTCACCCAGCGGCCTCCTCAGTGAGTGTCCAATTCATCTCCACTTTCTCCTGCATATTTGTTGAGCGATTGGTTGTTGTTTTGTCTGTTCCCATAGTTTTTTGTCGGTTCTTGTTCTTTCCGGCTATCTGATCTTCAGTATAGAGCGACGAAGACAGTTGTTGTTGATAAAGGTCTGCAACAGGCTGTTGGAAATATTCTTTGTGACCCGCCAAGTTTCTGATCCATCCGTATAGAAGAACTGACTTGACTGACGTTTGTATTGAAAATCCGAATTTTGTTGTTGATGCTGAGTGACGAAGATTTCCAGATTGGTTTCAGGTTGATGAATGTGTTTATATATATATATATATATATATATATATATATGTATATATATAAACAGAGTTAAATTAACATAAGTGCAATGTACAACATATAATACATCTCATCCAACAGCTATACGACAATGCTGCATGCCGCCAAGTAATCCACAACGGGAAACTTACAGAATCCTATGAAGTGAGGACAGGAGTAAGACAAGCTGGCTGCCTACTATCGCCAATGATTTTCCTGATTGCAGTAGACTGGATAATGCGACAGACAGCGGGCAATGAGGAAACAGGCATAAAATGGACTCACACAAAAAACTTGGAGCATTTGGACTTCGCCGATGATATATGTCTGATTTCCCACAAACTGCAAGATATGCAAGTGAAAAGCAACAAGTTGGGAGAAGAAGCATCAAGGATAGGACTTCAGGTGAACATAGAGAAGACAGAGGTGATGATGATTCCCGGGCAACACCACCAACAGCAACAACAACAACAGACAACAATCAGCATAAATGGGAGGAACCTGAAAGAAACAACTTCCTTTACCTACCTACCTGGGAAGCATCGTTTCAATTACAGGAGGACGGAACTGACAAGGATATCAAAGCGAGAATCGGAAAAGCAAGACAAGCTTTCACTACTCTCAAGTCTGTGTGGAGGTCAACAACACTCAGCATCAAAAATAAGATCCGGATTTTCGACTCCAATGTGAAGTCGGTGCCACTCACTATACGGATCAGAGGCTTGCACTGCGCGTCATAAAGAGCGTCTCAAACAAACTACAGACCTTCATTAACAGCTGTCTTCGCTCAATACTCAAGATAAGATGGCCGGCCAGAAAAGATCAACAACAGGGATCTCTGGGAGCGAACCAACCCAGTGAGAACCGATTGTGCAACAAATAGGCAGGAAGAAATGGAGGTGGATTAGCTGGTCATACTCTGAGGAAACCATCAAGTGACATCACACGCCAGTCCATTGCTTGAGTCTAACCCGAAAGGGAAGCGACGAGTTGGTCATCAGTGCAAGGGTGACTTGGAGGAGGTCATGTGAAGAGGAGATGAAAGAATGTGGGCAGACTTGGAGCCAGGTGAAAACTTTAGCAGAGAACCGAGCGCAATGGAGACGCACGGCTGAAGCCCTATGTTCCTCTAGGAATTAAAGGATACAATAATAATAATAATAATGTACAACATAACTTACTTCGAGAGTGTGAAAGAGTACTCTCCTGTTGACAAACACCTTCCAGACTATCTCGTCTACCTCCTGTATTCATCAGAGAACTATGCATCTCTTTTAAACTAGAATCAATAGAGGACAGTCTCAACTTTTGTTCACCACTGAAACTTTGTGTTCTGATTCTTGAATGTTTAGATAACACTGGTAAGGATGAAATATTAGCATTATTCATCATTTTTATTTTATTCATAATTAAACCATCTGATGATAGTTGATTATTTTCGATACAACGTTCACGAACCGATGGAAGTGAAGCGATAGTATTTGTAAAGTTCCCAGTGGTACCATTGTTACCATTATAATTATTACATTATTATTATTAGGATTTGTAACATGATTTTTCGATGGAACACGTGATAACGAATTCTGCATATGACTAATTGAATGTGTATTCGGTAGCGTTAGTGATTTTTTCTCAGAATACATCAAATTCCCTGATAATGATGGCGGCGGCTGTCGTAGTGGGGGTGAAGAGTAGGCAAGATACTTATCACCGCCTGAACAATACTGCCATCTATCCAGACTACCAGTATGATACCGCTGTTGCTGCTGACGGTGACGGTCGACACCCCCTCTACTACTACTTCCACTAATCCTAGTATCATCAATACGACGAGATCCTCCAGAGGAAGTGATTAACAAACCACTAGAAGCTATATTAGTAGTTGCAGATCTAATATCTCCTGATTCATTACCAAGTGATAAAGTCGTTATCTTATGCAATGAGGATGATGAAGACGCCGAAGAGGTCGTCGAGCAGGCTGATGCACGTCTAGCTTTAGCAACAGCTAGAACAGTATTGATAGCGCTTAGTGTTGTACAATTCACCGATGATGATGCATCAGTTAACGAGGATGCTGATGACGTCGATGTTGATGTTAATGTCGGATTTGTTCTACGTAAACGATTATCATCTAATGTACTAGATGAATAGTCATCTGGTGTTGTTGTTGCTGTTGTTTTTATTGTTGTTGGTGTTGTTATTGTTCCCGTTGTGATTATTGAATCATTCGATTTAGTTAAACTTTCATTAAATAATTCATTGCTCAATGGAGGAGGATGAACTTTGTTATGCTTTATTCGATTATTATGATTATTATTATGATTATTAAATAAGGATGGTACTTGACAGAAAGGATAAACAATACGATAAATTGGAAGAGATGATTTTGTAGTTGTTGTCGTTGTTGTTGTTGCTAATGTTGTAGTCTGAGTACTATTCTTATCGTGGCATTCATCTGATGATAGTTCTCTATAAAATCAAAAAAAGGGAAAACACTTAATGTAATACAATAACTACTACTTCTTTTTGATTTGTCACTAGTAACTAGTGTGCTGTGTCTAGTCCTCTCTTTGGTACAGACTGAATTCTATCAGTCAGTCAGGTTTGCAATGTGGCCAACATTCTAGGTAGCTTACCATCACGGTGTACATAGTTTGTGATGATATTGGATGGTTGGAGGCAATCGACAGGAAGCCTTGCCTGGACCTACGTTTCGTGCTAGTTGGCACTCACCAGTCAGCAAGACGTATCTGCAACCACCTTAAAACAACTCATGTCCCTTCCGAGATTCGAACCCGCGTCACCCAGTGCTGCAGTCAGAGACGTTACCACTGAGTCAGCTATTCGGGCTCGCGATTGACCTCCTGTAGGACTGTAGTGGATATTTTTGATTGCACACTAATCAGTAACTAGTGTGATGCGTCTAGTCCTCCCTTTGGTGCAGACTAGAATGGTGGCCACATTACAACCTGACTGATAGAATTCAGTCTGCACCGAAGATAGGACTAGACACATTACACTAGTTACTGACTAGTGTGCAATCAAAAATAGCCAATACAGTCCTACAGGAGGTCAATCGCGAGCCCGAATAGCTCAGTGGTAACGTCTCTCACTGCAGCACTCACTGGGTGACGCGGGTTCGAATCTCAGAAGGGACATGAGTTCCTTCAATGTGGTTGCAGATGCGCCTTGCTGACTGGTGAGTGCTACCTAGCACGAAACCTAGGTCCAAGGCTTCCTGTGGCCGATTGCCTCCAACCATCCAATATCATAACAAACTACTACTTCTACTATGACTAATACTCATGACAATTGTACACATTGAATACTCGTCAAGAGGAAAGAAGAAAGGAAGGAAGGAAGATAAAAATGAAGTTAAAGCTTAGAAAGACAGAGAAACAGTGTGTGTGTACGGACCTATTTGAACTCAACTCAAAATTATTGATTTTCACAATTGAACACTTCAACATCAAGTTAGGCGAATACTTCAGAAATTAAGTATCTTGGACTTATTCTCTCTTCTGATCTCTCCTGGTCTTCCCATGTCTCAGCGATCTCCAGTATGATATATTCCGCCTGACATTTTACATTAAGAAGTTAAGGCACTCGGGTATAACTCAACCACTCCTCCACTTACAGTTCATACACTCTTGCATCCTACCTATTCTTCTTTATTGTTCACGCCTGCTTATTCTTTACTGGTTTGCTTAAAAAGAACTTTGTCACAATTCGTAGAATGCTGAAGACTGTCAGTAGGGTGAGTGGTGTCCCAGTGGACTACATAGTTAACGTCGTTGTCGATAGGCACTTGACTTCGTGCAGTATATTTGGTAAAGGGATTTCGTCTGACTTGGAGCATCCACTTCACCCTCAGCTTTCACCTTGCATCTCCTCAGGTAGAACAAGAAGTAACTTCAGAAGACTGTATGCTCGCACGTCTAAGTATAAAAATTCTATGATACGATACTTGGCACGTATTTTATGTGATGAAAATAGCGTCAGGCAAGAACTGACTAACCTTTCTTCATCTAGTAAATAAACAATTTCCTCCATCCATCCTTATATACCTTCAAGTTTTACTTTTATTATTTCTATTATATTTATGGTCCTGTTGCTTCTTTGTTTTACTCTCATAATTGCAAACACCAACTTATCTCTATGACTGCTGTAATCTTTGTTTCCCTACCCGCCATATCATGTAAAGAGAACATTATATTCAATATTTTTAAACATCCTAGGATTTCTATACCGCATCGACAATACTGTGTGAAACAAGCCCACGGCAATTTTCACTTGTATTATTATTATTATTACCTTAGCTGTGATCATTATTATTATTTCCATTTTATATGCTGCATGTTTTTGACATTACCCCTATTGTGAATGTGGAAAATTTTCTGTGTGATTAATTTTTATTTATAATTTAAGGAAATAAGATGCAATATGGTGTAGGTTTCATACTTGCGGGCGCTCGTCAGTCAGTCAGCAAGGCGTATCTGCAATCTTGAAGGAACTCATCTCCCCCGCCCTCTGAAATTTCAACCCACGTCACCCAGTGAATGCTGCAGTCAGAGACGTTACCACTGAGCCAGCTATTTTGTCTCGCAATCGACCACCAGTAGGACTGTATTGGATATTTTTTTGAAGGGACATGAGTTCCTTCAAAGTTGCAGGTACTCCTCTCTCAATGGTAAGTGCCAACAAGGATGACACCAAGGTCACGCAAGGCTTCCTGTGGCTGATTGCCTCCAACCATCTAATACCAACAATTCACAGTGCACCATGATGGCGAGCCACTTAGTGGCACGCTGGCCACATTGAAAACTTGACTGATAGAATTCAGTCTGCACCAAAGATAGAACTAGACACATTACACGAGTTACTGACTAATGTCCAATAAAAAAACAAAACAACGTATATGTGTGTGGTTAAAATGACATTACTCATTTTGATTTTGCAGTTGACCACCAGTGATCGGCGGAATATCTTCATTATTCTTGGAAAGCAGGAAATCGTCTGAATCCTTGAAAGAAACAACCTGTGCGGGGTAAAAAATATAGAATAAAGTCAAATCATAATAGGAAAAGAATGCAGACAGAAGGAAAACATATGCCCTAATAAAACAAGATGACTGCAGTTGCGCCTGTAGAAAGATAATAATAATAATAATTTGCTTTATTCGAGAAACAGATCTTATTTTTGGCTAGGAGATTCCACAAGGTAAGTAGTGATGGGAGGCGGGGGTATAATAATTCGAGTCAACCTGTCTTAACTCTTCTCCCCAGCACAAAGAGACGGACGGCATAACTGACTTTCGGGTAATCCGAGGGAAACGTTTGACTACCATTAAACGCCTGTTTCTACAGGTGGTATGACTTAACCCTTAGAACCACAACATAGTGGGAACAAAGTACACTATGATGACAGTTGCTTTTAGTCTTGTATTCTACCTATGCTTCTTTATTGTTACCCTCCCCTCCTCCTTATACTTCCTTGGACTTCTCACGAAGGAATATGTCATATTACGTAGAACACTGAACGTTGTAAGTAGGATTTGGTGGTATGCTGCTGCCTTTGACTCAACTAACTGACACTGTTGTGTGTTGACAGGAATACTGCCTGCTTCTTAGACAACTATCGAATCGAATGCGGAAACAGTGGACCCCTATCATACGGTTGACAGATTTCTACGTAAGAATGGATAGTCATCTTAAAAAATAATCGCAACGTTTGAATGTCGATCGTTCATTGTACTACCTATTCTGCCGGACAAATTTCATCTCCATACTGTATTTACAAGACTAGGAATAAACTGTAATGAGATGATACTAGTGGGAAGTCACAATTATAGATAGACCAGTTATTCGCCCATGATACTGGCTGGCGCTATGTATATCGCGAATTGTCAGATGTTGGACTGTCATGGACTGACCATTGAATCGGGTCCCAGTTGTTGAATTGTCCACAAGCCAGTTTGCCTTGTAACCAGAAAGTCCTGGGTTCCAACCCTGGTTATGGGTGCGTACTGTAGAAAAGTCTCATACTAGGCGAAAACATCCGTTCAAGAGTTTCAAGTTTCTCAATGATTCCTATAAATATTTCATTGAATTTTAGATTTTTCCGTCGATTGATTTGACCGAAGTGCTCGGTCTCAGGTTGACATATCGGCTTCTTGTGCAGATGCTTCAACCATGTCTGGGCATGTAGTTAGAAGTTAATTGGTGGATGGTGACTAGCAGTGGAATCCACCAGGATGCGCATTTCGTCCTATTTAGGACTCGTCAGCCAGTGGATGTACCTCGGTGGGAACATCATCACTCACTGGGGAATGCAGGTATATCCACTGGCTGACGAGTCCCAAATCGTACGAAATGCACATCTTGGTGGATTCCACTGCCAGTCACCATCGTCCAACTAGATTCCTATAACTGATGTCGACTTGTGATCAAACCTGTCAACAATCAAATCCGTGCAAACCAATATTTGATAAAATAATTTCGCAATAAAAAATATACTACTATGAGTAGGCAGTATTATTCAAATGCAAACAAAACAGCCGACTTACTTTAACACGTGGGAACGGTTTACCCATTTCAATGTATCGTAATTCTTGGGCTGATTTGAAATAGCTATCAGTATAGAAAACAAGTTAGATATAGGAAGTTAAAACATACCTGCAGTTAATCCAGTGAGGTGCAATATATTCTTCTGGATTAATGAACGATTCAGATAGTATCTAAATAGTATAGAAGAAAAAGTGAATGAATAGCTAAGACCATTCTAGCAAATATAATACTGTGGTATGTGCTACTGATAAGATTTATCAGTAGTATACAAAGAGACAGTCATAAGCATAAAAATATCAAATAGCATGGAGATAGATTTGATGTCAGAGAAAGTAAATGATACAGGATTGCAGAGATACATGGGAGGCATGAAAGGAACACAAAGAACGACAATATGTAGGCGAGAAGTAGCATAACATGGAATATTTGTGCAAAGTGGTGATTTTTAGATAAGGTGTACCTAATTTCGCTGTACAGCGATGCAGAATTCCAAATAAACATTCCTTTACCAAGTCGCTTTGCTCCGGCAAAATGTAAGATGATGGTACGGGACTGGACTACATTGACTCCTAGCTTAGAAATAGGGAGTGAAGTGGCTGGTGAAGCGTGTTAACCACTTCACTTGTTTAGGAAGCGGCATCAGGCAGTGCCAGCAGGTTGATTGTTTCGCATATGCCAACTTACACCATCTCTGGCGTAGACGTGATATCCGGCTGACTGTCGACCAAAGGACGTGTGTACTGCTCAGCAGTCCGCTCCGTCCTCCTTTATGGCTGTGAGTGAGACCTGGCCATTGAAAGTGGAAGACGTAAAAAGGCTGGCTAGCTGTCTTTGATCATAGGTGTCTGCGTTCTATGTCCCGTGTGAAGTGATGGTATAATAATGTGAGCAATATTGAGGTGAGGCATTGGTCGAGTGCTAGGTAAGGAGGGGAAATCAATCGACGAGGCTGCGAAGTTACATCGAATGAGATGGTTAGGACATTTGTTACGTCTGCCTAGTCATCGCCATCCTTGACATAGGGTCAGGCTGGAAAAGAGCTAGCTAGTGGTGGTCAAACAAAAACATGATTTCATCAGTCAATGAAGTCCATAACAGATAGTTTAGGTCACATAGGGAGGTTTAGATTTCTTGGTTAGGGTCCTCGAGATGGTAAAAGCCAATGAAGGCTAGAGACAATCGGTGATATGGCTCAAAGTCGTTCTCAATGGCTGGCGTAGATGCATTCACTCCTTTTGACTTATAATATCTGATAAAACTATATTGTTCTTGCATATTGCTATTGTTTTTGTCTTATATCTCTGTTTACTGTCTCTTTTTGGCATTTCTTTTTACTTTCTTCTCTTGCTCTGTGTGCTACAAGGAGGGAGTGTGACGACTTGAACTGCTGCACATCAGTGCAAAGTTGTTCTATGTTGAAACCAGTCAGTGGGTTATCAAGTCTCTCGTTTTCTACTGTTACACTAATGCTGTTACGCTTCACGTATACAGAATATGAACTCGGAAAGAGCCAGCCAAGAATCTATCGCTCAACAAATATTCCGAAGAAAACAGAAATGAATCGTACGCACACTGAGGAAACCGTCGAATGACAGCCCACGCCAGGTTTTTGCTCGGTTGGAACCCGAATGGGAAGCAAAGTGTTGGGCGTAGATCCTAGGTTGATATGAAGGAGATTTTGTGAGTTGAAGGATATGAGAAACTATGGAAAATCGCCAGGCTAGCTGAAGAGAACCGCGCAGAATTAAAGTGGAGTTGTGGTGTTGAGGCCTCGCCATGTTTCACTCGGGACGCAAAGGAAAAATAATTATAAAGGAAATGCAGCAGTTCTTTCCTGACTTAAGAACGTGGAATCCAGGATGTGCATCGTGAATTCCACTGATAGCCACAACCAACCAAAATAACTTCACGTTAATTCCCAGACATCGAACAAAGCATAGAATGGCAGTGAGACCTCACTCTACCTCCACTTCATCGATTTTGAAAAGGCTTTCGACAGACAGCGTTGACTGAGAAGCAATTTGGGAACTACTTCAACACTACGATCTGCGGTGCCCCAAGTAGTCTTTATCAGCCTCATTCAAACGCAACTATATGACAATGTCACGTGCCAGGTGATTCACAACGGAAAAATGACCAAGGCGTTCGAAGTAAATACAGGAGTAAGACAAGCTGGCTGCCTATTATCACCGATAATATTCTTAATTGTAGTGGACTGGATTGTGCGTTAGACTGTGTGCATGGGAGCGAGGAGACAGGAATACACCGGAAGACCGATAAGAAGACGCTAGAAGATCTGGATTTCTCAGATAATATATGTCTAATAATATACAAACTCGAAGACTTACAGGCGAAAACCAACAAACTGACTGAAGAAGCAGCCAGCGAAGACAAGACTGCAGGTGAGCATAGAGAAGACGAAGGTGATGAAGATAACCAGCCCACAGCAACTAGGATCAATTACCATCAACCGGAGAGATTTAACAGAGGTTACCGCCTTCACTTATCTAGGAAGCCAGCATCGTTTCAACCACAGGCCGGTGGAATGAATGAAGATGTCAGCCAGCCAGAATCCGAAAGGTAAGATATGCATGGCTTCATCAACCTGAAACTAGTTTGCAAATCTTCTGTTGTCACTCAGCCAGCGTAAAGAACAAAATTCGGATTTCCAACACCAATGTCAAATAGGTCCTTCTATATGGGTCAGAAACTTGCACTGTGCTCGCGTCACGAAAAGGATTTCCAACAGCATGTTGTAAACTTTTATCAGCAGCTGCTCATCTCTCTGGCTCCATACTGAAGGTCAACTAGCCAGATGGCCAGTCAGGAAGAATTAGCAACAAGAAACTCTGGTTGGCAACAAACCAACAGGCGAGAGCCGATTGCTCAAGAAATATGTAAGAGAAAATGGAGATGGATTTATCGGGCACACATTGAGGAGGCCGTCGAATGAAATCACACTGAATGCAGGCCATCGCTTGAGTGGAATTCAAATGGGAAGCGACGAGTGGGTGGTTAGTGCAACGGTGATATCGACGAGATCGTGTGTAAAGGAGGAGGAGGAGACGAGAGATTATGGGGAGTCGTGTGGCTAGCCAAGTGAAGAGGACGGCAGAAAATAGAAGAAAAAGAGAGTGGAGATGTGTTGTGGACCGATATCATTTGAAAAAAGCCAATGAAATACCCAACAGAATATTTTGTTCTTGTTTTCAAGGCTCTTAAGCAATCCATACACACTAGGGGAATCTAGTCTACAACGTTCCAGGTTCGAGAGAAGACAATGAAGCATATTTCGTAAACTATCCAACCCTTTAAAAAAAGTCTAAAAGTTGAACTATCCATATTGTAACAGAATATTATATAATAAATATATTTTCTGCAAAAATGCTAAAAGTTGAAATATAAACTCACTTTAAATAACGGAACTGCATGAAGAGGTTGCTCTGCTAGACAGATTAAATCAACTCCAACACCTAAATATAGAATAAGAGACACATAAAATATGAAAAAATAAAAAGTCTGTATTAAAACAGTAGAAATATTTAACTTCCCCATGATTCATTTGTGCAGCGATTTGAAACAAAGATTTGAGACGTTCTGTGTTTGTTGAGATTTGATTTGTCACAGGTTCGGTGGTCACGAAGTGACATCAGTTAGGAGGACATTGTTTCGTGAAAGTCTGGGACTCTTTATCACTACCCACCCGCCGCCTACTGGGATTTGATTCAATGACTCGTGAAATCCAACTTCTGCCATTTCGTGATATATATATATAGCGCAACTGCTAACCAACGTCACAGACGTACTGTGCGGGAGAGTCCCAAGCTAGGACGAAACAGCTATCCAGTACTCCCAGGTTTTGCAATGCTTCTCTAACTGATATCGACTCGTACTCAGGCTTAAAACTCAATATACCAAACTAATATTACCAATGACGAGAATACCCTATATTTTTTGCTAACCTTGGCTTCTTAACCTTCGACAGCCTTTCGCCTTTGTCGAGATTCCCAGCCTATCCGTGTCGTTTCGAGATGTTAGTGAGTAGTCCTCAAAATGGTTGTTCCCAATGCGACTTCTAACACAGATATCCTGAAACCGCGTGCTGCGTTCAAGCTGGCTACCTACAATGTTCGGACGCTGATGCAAATCGGACAACAGGCAGGGTTGGCAAGAACTTTGGAAAGCCTCGCTATCGATGTCTGCTGCATTTCGGAGACCCGCATTCAAGATCCCAGTGAAGTGCTTCGACTATCCTCTCCATCTGGAAGTTCTAGTAGTATGTACCACCTGCGCTTATCCGGGGACCCTGTGGCATCGGCATCCGGCGTAGCTGGTGTCGGTGTCGCATTGAGCGCTAGAGCCGAAGCTGCACTGCTCGACTGGATTCCCATTAACAGTCGTTTATGTGCAGTGAGGCTGGAAGGATATACGAAAGTAAGGAGTAGTAGGCCAGATAGGCGGTGTCTATTTGTTGTCTCTGCCTATGCACCGACGGATTGCAGCCCGGATGCAATGAAGGATGAGTTTTACTACCAACTGAGCGATCTGTTGAAGCAGGCGGGTCGGAGGGATATCGTAGTGCTAGCTGGGGACTTGAATGCACAGGTCGGGCGTCTAAGCTCAGAAGAGAGTCGTCTAGGTGGTCAGTGGGGACTACATGGTCGCAGGTCAGATAATGGGGACCGTCTTCTGCAGCTTTGCGCGGATCACAACCTATTTCTAGCCAGCACCAACTTCCGGCACAGCCATCGCCGTAGCGCTACCTGGCGTCCTCCCTCTGCGAAGCAAGCTTGGACTCAGATTGATCATATTGCGGTCAGTTTCCGGTGGCGAGGATGCATACAAGACTGTCGCTCCTTCTGGAGCACATGCCTAGACTCCGATCATGCGTTAGTGTGTGCCAAGTTCGTCTTGCGATTTGGTGGGGTTCGTAAAAACCGTCGTCTAAGCGTTGATGTGAGCAAACTAGTGGCACCTGCTACTTCTTTGAAATATCAGAATGAGTTGAAAACAATGCTTGCCAGCAACCCCCCAAGTAGTATAGATGAACACTGGCTTCATGTGCAAGGTGCCATGCAAAAGGCGAGTGTAGCCGCTTGCGGCTTGAAAGAATGCTCCGCTAACAACCACTGGGTTTCTGCGAGTTCCTTGCAACTCATGGATGAACGCCGGTCCATTCCGGCTGGCAGTGAATACAACAATCAGCGAAAGGCGCTCACGCGCAAGATTAGACAGTGTTTACGTAAGGACCGCGAAGCCTGGTGGTCAGAACGTGCGTGTGAGATGGAGTCAGCTGCTGCATCTGGCAACAGTCGGAAGCTGTTCCAACTCATACGAGCCACCGGCAGCAAGAAACAAGGTGTCAGCGAGACGGTCTGTGAGGCAGATGGCACTCCAATTACCAGCCTGAAGAGACGCCTGGAACGCTGGGCAGAGCACTTCGGAAAGCAGTTCAGCTGGTCACCAGCTTCATTGTCTACTATCACTAGCCCGAGTGCTCCTTGGTCGGTTAGTACCGACCCACCCACCGAAGCGGAGGTCCGTAAGGAACTCCAAGTTCTGAAACGCCATAAGGCGCCCGGCCCAGACAAATTACCCCAGGCTCTTTTTAAAGAGGGTGGCGAGACTCTCATAATGGCTCTAACTGGGTTGTTCAGGAGGGTGTGGGAGACAGAGAGCGTACCATCAATGTGGAACGAAGCCATTATCGTCCCCATCTTTAAAAAGGGTCGACGTAATTCGTGTGACAACCATAGGGGTATTATTATGATTACTGTTATTATTATTATTAAGACTATTAAGATTATTATTTGATTCCCAAAATCACCGTCATTGGTTAAAATTTTATATATAAATCTATGTAAATTAGAGTAAAGCCTGAAGAAGATCTAATTGAAAACAATATTGTTCGCTTATATGTCTTATTCTAATAGGGATATCAGTCTGTTACCAGTTGCGTCTAAAATATTGGCTGCTGTCACGCTTCGCAGACTGTGCAAAATACGTGAAGGATTGATTCGCGAAGAGCAGGCTGGGTTTCGTTCAGGTCGTGGATGCATTCATCATGTGTTCACCCTTCGTCAGTTGTTGGAACACCGCCACACGTATTGCAGGCCAACGATCGTTGTGTTTCTTGATATTAGGGCTGCCTTCGATTCGTTGGACAGAACTGTGCTCTGGAACTGTCTGTTAGAGAGAGGTGTACCTGAGAAATTTGTTAACATCTTGAAAGCCCTATACAGAAACACCTCAGGTAGAGTGAGGGCATACAACCAACTATCACCACTGTTCCCAACCAACAGTGGGGTTAGACAGGGTTGCCCAATCTCGCCATTTCTCTTTAACTTTGCCATCGATGACATTCTGGAGTCAGCTCTGAAGGATGTGCGTGAAGGTGGTGTAGATCTGCTACCTGGAAATAGACTTTTCGACCTCGAGTATGCAGACGATATCGTCTTACTGTGCGATGGCATACAGGCTGCCCAAATCGCACTTAATCAGTTGGCGATCAGTGTCTGTAAGTATGGTATGTGCTTTGCACCATCTAAGTGCAAAGTACTGTTACAAGATTGGCAGGAGCCTGTACCTGCACTCACTCTTGCGGGTGAACCGCTTGAAGTTGTCGATAAGTTTGTGTACCTAGGTAGTTGTGTGAGTGCTGGCGGAGGGGTGACGGATGAGATTTCCAACCGTATAATGAAAGCTAGGGTGGCATACATCAACTTGAGCCACCTCTGGCGCCGTCGCGACGTTAGCCTGGCTGTCAAAGGTCGGGTATACAATGCTTCGATGCGGGCTGCGCTGCTCTACGCCTGTGAAACCTGGCCTCTCCGAGCTGAGGATGTGAGGCGACTCTGCGTGTTCGATCACCGCTGTCTCCGCAGGATTGCTTGCGTTCGATGGAATCATCGCGTGAGTAATTCTGAGGTTCGGCGGCGTGTGTTTGAACACAGTGGAGATCACCATTCATTGAATGTCGTCATCTGGAAACACCGGCTCCGGTGGCTTGGACATGTGCTGCGAATGTCACCCCAGAGGCTTCCGTACAGGTCTCTGTTCGCTAGCCCTGGGACGGGATGGAAAAGGCGGAGAGGTGGTCAGCCCATGACGTGGCGTCGTGGGATGAAGGATATTTGTGCTAGATTAGCATCGGTTGGTGTGTCACGACTCCCTGGTTGGGGTCTGAGAGATAGCTCAAATCGATGGCTCGAAACGTTATCAAATATGGCCAAGAATCGTAATCAATGGCGAATGTGTTGCGATTTCCTTCTTTCTTCCATTCCCGATGATAGTTAACGAACACTGTTTGAACCTGTTAAGAATGAGTGTTTTCCTTCCAGATGAAGTTCTTTATTCGTTCTCTACTTATATATTTTTTTTCTTTTCCTGCCTTCCTCCCTTTTTTTCATCTATGTTGTTTTATTATTATTGTGTGGCGCATCCTTCTTGGTGCCATATTGTACCAAGTTCTAATGCGTTTAAATAAATAAATAAATTTACAGTTAAAACAATATTTAATTCAAATTTAGATTTTCTCATCGATTGGTTGGACCGATGTGCTGGGTCTCAGGTTGACATGTCTGTCGGCTTCTTGTGCAGATGCTTCGACGATGTCTGGGCACTTAAAAGTTAACCGGTGGATGGTGACTAGCAGTGGAATCCACCAGGATGAGCATTTCGTCCTATTTGGGACTCGTCAGCCATTGGATGATGTTCCCACCACCGAGGCTCGAACCCAGTGACCATAGTTTCAAACACATCAATTAACTTCTAACTAAATACCCAGACATCGTCGAAGCATCTACACAAGAAGCCGACATGCCGACCTGAGACCGAGCACTTCGGTCCAACCAATCGACGAGAATATCCAAAAGTTCAATTAAATAATTAATATGACCCGTTGCACAAGAGATGGCTAGTTGTCGTGGCCCAAGTGGTCTAGTGGATAAGGCTTTGGTGTTTGAAACTATGGGCACTGAGTTCGAGCCTCGGTGGTGGTAACATCATCACTAACTGCGAGAATGCAGGTGCATCCAGTCAACTGACGAGTCCCAAATAGGACAGGCGAAATGTGCGTTATCCTGGGGGATTCCACTGGTAGTCACCATCATCCACCAATTAACTTCTAGTTAAAACAATAGTTTCCACAAACTAGGTGACAATGTAAACCCCAAGGGTTGAAATGACAGTTCCTTCAAAATAGCGACCACATTCGTGTAAACAGAAGGTTTAGAGGGATTCAGGAGGATAAACATACAGATCCAACTATAGAAGATATAATTCCCAGCTTGTAAAGAAATAAAAACCGTTGTGTATATTACATTACTTGAACTGACAAAAATAGAAACTCTACATAAACCAGGATCTCAAGGGGGGGGGGGGGGGAGTTAACCTGAAATATCTTTAAGAGAAGAATTTCACCATCTTTGAGAATAATTTTTCACACGAATGCTCAGATAAGTGTTCTCCCATGGTCCATCGGTCCGCAGATGCCTAAAGGTTAAGATCTTACATCTGATCACTTCTGCTTGCATAGATCGGCTCACCCCTGATCTTATAGAGCGAGATATATTGGTCATTCGACCTGAATCCTGTCTAAAGGAGTTCATAAAACACTATCTCGCATGGTTGCAGAAAGACATACTAGTAGTGGTTCTATAAGAAGTGACATAATCGAGCATCTGGTCAACATTAGTCATTCCATCTCAACAAACACCTCCCTTAAAATAATCTACATGGTGAAGAATAGCCTGGCAAAACAAAACGCTTTCATCGCATTTGCACTATTGGAACTCTAGCTATTGAAATGGGGAAATGAGAGTTCTAAATACAAAGCAAACTTATTCGACCACCTCTACTATCATAATAACGACCTTATTGATTTGTATTAAAATCATGCATCGATCAAATCGCAGCACTACGGATCATTATTGAACAGAGCTTGGAATGGTAGTCAGTCAGCTCTCTACCTCACTCAACTTCATTGACTTGGAAAAGGCCTTCGATAGCGAGCGCATCGTCGATGGAGAGGTGATTTGGAAACTACTTCGCTACTACCAAGGGGTGTCGCCAACAATTATACATCTCATCCAACAGTTGTACGACAATGCTGCATGCCGCCAAGTAATCCACAACGGGGAACTCACGCAGTCCTTCGAAGAAATGAAGACGGGAGTAAGACAAGCTGGCTGCCCACTACTATCTGCAATGATTTTCCTGATTGCGACAGACTGGATCATGCAACAGACAGTGGGCAACGAGGAAGCAGGAGTAAAATGGACCCACACAAAAAAACTTGGAGGATCTGGACTTCGCCGATGATGATATATGTCTGGTTTCCCACAAACTGGAAGATATCCAAGTGAAAAGCAACAAGTTGGCGATGGAAGAAGCATCCCAAGAATATAGGACTTCGAGGTGAACATAGAGAAAACAGATGTGGTGATGAAGATTCCTGGCCAACAGCAACAGCCACAGCAACAACAACAGACAACAATCAGCATGAATGGGAGAAATCTGAAAGAAGCAACCTCCTTCACCTACCTACCTACCTACCTACCTACCTGGGAAGCATAGTTTCAACTACAGGCAGACGGGACTGACGAGGATATCAAAGCGCGGATCCGGAAAGCAAGGCAAGCTTTCATTACTGTCAAGTTTGTGTGGAGGTCAACAGCACTCAGCATGAAAGTGAAAATAAGATCCGAATTTTCAACTCCAATGCGAAGTCAGTCAGTGCTACTACATGGATCACAGACTCGGTGCGTCATGAAGAGCACCTCTAACAAACTACACACCTTCATCCACAGTTGTCTTCGCTCAATACCACTCAAGATCAAATGGCCGGCCAAAAAAGATCAGCAACAGGGATCTCTGAGAGCCAGCAAGCGGACCAACCCTTCTTGAACCAATTTTACAACAAATAGGCAGGAAGAAATGGAGATGGATTGGCTATACTCTGAGGAAACCATCAAGTAACATCACTAGACAAGCCCTCGAGTGGAAACCGAACGGGAAATGGCAAGTTGGTCATAAGTGCGAAGGTTACATGGAGGAGGTTATGCGAAGAAGAGATGATGAAAGCATGTGGGAAGACGTGGAGCCGGGTGAAAACGTTGGCAGAGAACCAAACGCAATGGAGACGTACAGAGACATCACTGGGAGATTAAAACAACAATTAGAAATGGTGAAAAGTAGATGTATTATGCTAGTCCGTTGGAAATTTAAATAGCCCAATGGTTTTAACAGACCGCTAGAAATTAAAACGAAATAATTGTATAAATTGAACTCTAATGGCTAATGGATGACTGAAGGCGAGATTTAAACTATTTGGGCAAGAAATCTGTACCCAGGTGAACTATGAGATTCATTTTATTTCACCACATCATACGGATGAAACAGAAACTCTACAGCATCATCATTGAACAGAGGATAGAATGGTAGTCAAACCTCTATCTCAACTTCATCGACTTTGAAAAGGCTTTCGACAGTGCTGACCACGAAGTAGTATGTAAACTATTTCAACACTATAGAGTATTATTATTATTGTTCCCTTGGGTTCCTGGTAGAATACAGGACTTCAACTGCACGCCTCCACTTGCTTCTGTCTTGTGCTGTACTTTTCACTTGCATCCATGTTAGTCCATACTGTTTCAGCTCCTCTGCACACGATCTCCTCCATGTCACCCTTGAACGTCCCACTCGCCGCTTCCCTTTCGGCTCCCACTCGAGCACTGGCCTCACGCGCGATGTCACCCAGCTGCCTCCTCAGCGAGCGAGTGTCCAATCCATCTCCACTTTCTCCTGCATATTTGTTGGGCCATTGGCTCTTGTTTCGTTTGTCCCCATAGTTTCCTGTTGGTTCTTGTTCTTTCCGGCCATCTGATCTTCAGTATAGAGCGACGAAGACAGTTGCTGATAAAGGTCTGCAACAGGCTGTTGGAAATATTCTTTGTGACCCGCCAAGTTTCTGATCCGTATAGAAGAACAACTGACCTGACGGTTGTATTGCAACACTATAGAGTGCATCGCCCTAAATCATTATCAACCTCATTTAACAGCTATATGACAACGCCATACGTCAATTGTTGCACAACGGAAGACTCAGAGGAGGCTTCAAAGTGAAGATAAGAATAAAACAACCCTATCAGACTACTATCACCGATGATACTCCTAATTCTGATGGACTGCAGTTTGCGGTGCACCGTGAGTGGAGAGCAAGAAGTCAGAAATACGTTGGACCACTGATAAGAAGACTCCAGAGGGTCTGGATTTCGCGAAAGATTTATGTCTAATGTCAAACAAACTTGAAGACTTACAGAAGAAAACCAACAAACTGGCAGAAGAGGCAGACAGCGAAGACAGTTCTCCATATAAACATGGAGAAGACGGAGGTGATGAAGATAACCAACCAACAACATCAACGAACACCAATCACTATCAAAGGAATATCTGAACTTCGCGGGAGGATAAACAACAAAATTCGAATTCTCAGCACCAATGTCAAGTCAGTTAGCCAGTTCTATATGGATCAATTACTCAGAAAACTGCAGACTTTCATCAACAGCAACCCACTTTGCTGGCTGCGTACCGAAAGTTAAATGGCCGGCTGGTCAGAAAGAATTCGGAACAAAGACCTCCGTGAACGAGCCAGTCAAGAACCCATTGTGTTCAACACATGTTCCGAAGAAAATGGAGATGGATAGGGCACACTCTGAGGAGGCCGCCGAGTGACATCAGCTGCCAGGTCATCACCCGAATGGGAAACGACAAGTTGGAGACGTGGGTCCAACGGTGACATGGGGGAGATAAAAACCTATGGGTATTCATGGTTTCAAATGAAGAGGACTGTAGAGTGTAGGACAAAATGGAGGAGCGTTCCATTGGGAACCCAAGGGAACAATAATAATAATACTCATATTTCTGATAATAAGAACAATACTTTTCTTTTTGCTTACCCAAATCAAGAACTCTTTTCTTTGTTAACATGAGAAGATTTTCGTTGACATGATATACACCTGATCCTGGTGTTATGACAAATAAAAGTTTTCCAGTACGATCGAAATTTCGATCAACATTATATCCCGAATAAACTAAAAGTATAAATAAAATAGAAGGGAAGCGGGTGAGAATACTTCGATTGAGGGTGAAATGAAGAATTCTACTGAACAAAATAAGAAATGATCTTGTAAAGAATAATATTCATGAGCAATGAGATTTACTTTTTTACGGAATGGGGTTGCGAACCCCCACGCCAAATTATCGCCTTTTCACAGGGATTCCTACCGCCTCAGGGAGGTTTAATAGCGCGTCGGAGGCCGGAGATCGAATCCCGGGTCTGCAATAATATGAATTGTAATCTGTAAGACAACTGAAACCAAGGGGGTGGTGATTCAAGATCAGACAATATTAGCTCAGAATTGATCTTATCATCACCTCTTAGCTTTATCTATAACCACATGTTGAAACTGAGTTGCTCATTTGAAGTGGTACTGACGAGTAAGTAAACAATAACGTGAAGATAAAATGTACACTGTTAGCTATTGACAGTAATTCGATCGATGAGATTGTGAAGCCTCAAAGAGGTATACGACCTGAACTTGCATTCGGATAGACTTCAAACAAAACATCAAAGTAACCAATCAAATCCCTGCAAACCAATACTTGAATATTAATCACTCTGATGTTCACTAGATACTGGCCATATTCAAATAGGTAACTGCATGGGTTCTGTCTGTCTGTCTGTCTGTATTCGACATAGAACTTTGCACATATGTGCGGCAGTTCAAGTCGCCACACTCCCTCCTTGTAGCACACAAAGGAAGAGAAGAAATGCATATTAGAGACAGTAAACAGGGGTGTGAGACAAAGGAATAGTAGTAACGAAGAACAAAACAGTCTCATTGGAAATCATAAGTCAAAAGGAGTGGATGCATCTGCGCTAGCCATTGAGAACGATTTTGAGCCATGTCACCAATTGTTTCCAACCATTGGTTTTTACCGTCCCGACGACCCTAACCAGGAAGCCAGTCTACACCTTCCTACGTGGCTTAGACTAACTGTTGTAGATTTCATTGACTGGTGCCATATTTCCGTTTGACCGCCGCTAGCTCTTCTCCAGCCTGACCCTATATCAGCTAACATTGCCCGTCGAGGAAGGCGATGACTAAGCATACGTAGCACATGTCCTAACCATCTCAGTCGATGTAATTTCACAGCCTCGTCGATTGATTTTCCCTCATAGTTACCAAGCATTCGATCGATGCCTAACCTCAATATTGCTCACCTTATTATACCACTTCACACGGGAGATAAAACCCAGGCACCTATAATCGAAGACAGCTAATCTTTTCATGTCTTCCGCGCTCAATGGCCAGGTCTCACAGCCATAAAGGAGGATGGAGCGGACTGATGAGCAGTATACCCGCCCTTTGGTCGATAACCAGTCGGATATGACGTCTACGCCAGAGACGGCGTAAACTGGCATATGCGAAACTAGCCCTCTGTATCCGTGCTGAGATTTCGTCAGAGATCAACCCGTTGGGGCTGACAGTACTTCCCAAATAAGTGAAGCAATCAACGTGCTCTACCACTTCACTCCCTATTTCTAAACTAGGAGTTAGTGTAATCCAGTCCTGTAACATCATCTTACATTTGGCGGGAGCGGCCTGGGTTTTAGTGAGAATTCGTGACCAATGGGGTAAAGCAGGTTTGGTTTGAGAACAAATACTTGCCACCAATGACATAGGCTAACGGTCACCCTATATCGTGAATTACCAGAAGTTGGGATTTATGGGCTGGCCATTGAATCGACTCCCAGAGGCTGAAGGGTCTACGAACCAGCTCGCCTTGTAACCGGAAGGTGCTGGTTCTCTAACTGATATCCACTGATGATGAAAACCTGTAACCAATCGAATCCCTGCAAACCAATACTTTGAAAGTACGAAGTTATTGACTTTTAATGTGGATGTGACACAAAGAGGCGTAGATTGACAGACTGGTGTCATCCGAATACTAGAAAACCAAAGGTTGAAGAATCTTGGTGAAATGTATTTCTCGTTTTATTTTATTCCTTTATATTCTTAGTGGAACATAGGGGGTTTCAAGCTAGAGCTTTTAAGTTTCAGTGCCAGTGGGGCTTATTTTTACGGCGTGGGACTGGTAGCCTCATGCCCAACGCTCGTTCTTTACTGGTATTATTACCAGCTTAGTGAGGTTTAAGAGTGCGTCGGTGGCTGGGGATCGAACCTCAAAGCACGTGAGGCGTGGATGGCGAGTATTCCATCGTTTTAGGTACCACCGATGCACTGTCGATTAAAATGACTGAAATTCATTTACAATTGAACAGATATCTTTTGAATATCTTCAGTACTGTTCATCAGAGTTATTCTTTTTCACACAAGTTTATCCATTGAACGAATTGATGTACAATATCATACATACAGAGTCCAACACTGACGAGTCACAATTGTTCCTTCACCTTAATAATGAGAAAATATTTAGATTATAGATGTATATCAACCCAAAATGTAAATGTCAGTCTTCAGCTGATTGATGGCTACTGGATAGATGTCCTGAAGGTGTACTGCGAAATCGTAGCCAGTAGGCGTGTGCCACCGACAATTATACATCTCATCCAACAGCTGTACGACAATGCTGCATGCCAAGTCATCCACAACGGGAAACTTACGGAACCCTTCGAAGTGAGGACAGGAGTAAGACAAGCTGGCTGCCTACTTTCGCCAATGATTTTCTTGATTGCAGTAAACTGGATAATGCGACAAACAGCGGGCAATGAGGAAACAGGCATAAAATGGACTCACACAAAAACGACGTGGAGGATCTGGACTTCGCCGATGATATATGTCTGATTTCCCATTCACTCGAAGATATGCAAGTGAAAAGTAACAAGTTGGCAGAAGAAGCATCAAAGATAGGACTCCAGGTGAACATAGAGAAAACAGAGGTGATGAAGATCCCTGGACAAGAACAACAACAACAGACAACGATCACCATAAATGGTAGAAATCTGAAAGAAGCAACCTCCTTTACCTACCTGGGAAGCATCGTTTCAACTACAGGCGGAACTGATGTGGATATCAAAGCAAGAATCGGAGAATCAAGACAAGCTTTCACTACTCTCAAGTCTGTGTGGAGCTCAATAGCACTCAGCGTCAAAAATGCGAAGTTAGTCCTACTTACTATACGGATCAGAGACTTGGCCAGCGCGTCATAAAGAGCATCTCAAACAAACTACAGACATTCATTAACAGTTGTCTTCGCTCAATACTCAAGATCAGATGGTCAGCCAGAAAAGATCAGCAACAGAGATCTATGGCAATTAGCGAACCAACCAGCAACCGATAGTGAAACAAATAGGCAGGAAGAAATTGAGATGGATTGGCCATACTCTGAGGAAAGAAGCCATCAAGTGACATCACTAGACAAGCCCTCCAGTGGAACCCGAAAGGGAAGCGGCGAGTTGGTCGTCAGTGCGAGGATGACTTGGAGGAGGTCATGTGAAGAGGAGATGAAAACGTGTGGGCAGACATGGAGCCAGGTGAAGACTCTAGCAGAGAACCAAACGCAATGGAGACGCGCGGCTGAAGTCCTATGTTCCTCTAGGAATTAAAGGAAACAATAATAATAATAATAATGATAATAATAATAATAAGAGTCCATCATGTGTCAAGGCGAAGCAAATTCTCACCGAAAACATTGGTTGTTAAGGGTGGCCTTATAACACGAATCAACAGAACTTTCAATTCACAGCTTATTGAATTTTAGCTCAAGTGGCTGAATGTTCAACGAGATTGGTTTCGTAACCTAAAAGTTTTCGGGTTGGATCTCTGAAGGCATGGTGTGGGTGGGCACTGCTGAAGAGTCCGGGACTAGGATAAAACAGTTGTTCAGTGATCTCTAAATAGTATTGGTGTGTAAAGAAATCTATACAGAAACGACAAAGTAATCCGTCTTGTAAATCCTATTAAGATTTTCCTATTGGACGATGAACTAAATGCCGTGAGTGTAGACCGATTAGCATAACGCAGTAAGAAATAGGCCGCCATGAGTTTTATTGTTTATGATAAATAAGAAGACAGTGAGATTGAAACAGTGACTTGTCGAACATAGATGCAACCCGTATACCGTAAAATATAGCAAGATTGCTAATATTTAAGACAGAACCTTATTTAAAATGATTAATCATGAATAGGTATTAAATGATTTCGTATGTGGCATATCTACAACCGCTTTTATTCAATGAAGCAAATCATGCTACTTATAAGTAGTTTAAGGGAATTTTTAAAATTTATAGGGATATATATGTCATATATGCCCAAACCAAGTTCACTTTTAACAGTTTGAAAAATTTGGGCATTGGGTAAAGGTTTTTTGTATTTCTCAATGAATGAAAAACAGAACGATACTCCTGTTTTCACTCAAATTTTGCTATTTAATGCTGCTAATAGCTTTATCGAAGTAGTATTATTAAACCAGAATTTACAAAATCTCCTCAGCTTATATATAACAACTTAATCATCGTTCCTCAGTATGGGGTCAGTTTGGCGATGTCAAATTGGCCAATTGGTAAAGATAAAAAAACCAGGTGTAGATTCTTTGATTTGATAAATGGTCGAAAACGTATTCCGAAATCATGGACCTCAACAGTTGTCATTCCATATAGAGCAGAGACGTCACACGATATCAGAAGAGTATTCAATAAGCTCGATATCAGAGTTTTTTCAAAACATCGGACACACTGCATGGTAACCTTGTCCACATGAAAGACAAAATCCGTAAGAATTCTCTATCTAATTGTGTCTATAAAATAAAATGCTTGCTTGGAATGTGATGTGATATACATTGGACAAACATCACCAGAGAGAAATCAAAATCAGAAGAAATGAACACCATAGAACCGCCTCTACTCGACTACCGAGAAATCCAGGTGAACTAGAAAAGCCTGAAGAATCATCAGCCATAGCTCGTCTACACGCTACGCTATAGAATCAGGCGACAAAATTGATTTTGAAAATATTGAAATCATCATCCAGAAAAAGCATTTCAGAAATCACAAAGAACGTCTTACATCATGAGAAGCACTTCGTGTCAAATGGAATCCAAATTGTCTGAATAGGAATGATGGACTAAGACGGAATCTGACCTGTTTACAACACCCCCCTGCCCCATGAAGTGACAAAATCAACACGAATGTGATAAGCAATTTCATTATGTGAACACACGCTGCTTTTATAGTTTTATATACACTAATCAAATCCAACAATCTACACCTGGTTTTGTTATCTTTACCAATTGACCAATTTGACAACGCAATTTTTTGTAGAAATTTCCTTAATTTTAGTTGATATTCTATTTGCTATTAAATTTTTATTATTATTATAATTTAAGTATCTTTAATAGACTGTAACTCCATTGATCTTACTTTGCAAACGATATTATTTAAAAAAACACTAACATCGTTATTGACTACTTATCTAGAATATTCGGTGTATATAAACATGTATATATATGTATAATTGTAGAGCCAGAAGACGGAATTATCGAAAAGGATATTCTTTACCCAATTATAATCTTGTTCATCTCAGGGATGATAAAGGATTAGTCAAGTAGACTAGATTACAAAACTTAGTACAGAACGATGTTTGGGAACTAAACAAAGGCCCATCGCATCAGAAATATAAAACTTGCGATTTATCAAGTGAAATCAATAGACATGGCTTGATGGACCACGAGCTAGCTCGCTGGGCTTGTAACCAGAAGGTCCTGGGTTCAAGCCCTGTTGGTGCGTGGGTACTGATGAAGAGTCCAAAACTAGGACGAAACAACCGTCTAGTACTCCCCGTTAATTTTCCAATGGTTCTCTAACTGATGTCAGCTCATGATGAAATCGCTCATGTAATCAAACCAAAAAATCCCTACAAAAACCATTACTTGGAAATTAATCTGATGCTCACTAGCGACTACTCGCCTTATTCAGGCAGTTAGTTATCTGGGGTTCTAGTGGGAAGCCATGACCAGTAGGGCACAGCAGGTTGAAGGTGAGGCAGTAACTCATCGAAGAAGGCATTGAGAAGTGGTCGCGCTATTCAGTGCGTGAATTGGCAGAAGTTAGAGGTCATGGACAACTGACCATTGTATCAGTCGGGTTCCAATGGGTTAATGGTCTATGAGCTAACTCGTTGGCCTTGTAACCAGAAGGTCATGTGTTCGAACCCCTGCAGTGGTTGCGTACTGCTGAAGAGTCCCAAACTAGGACGAAACAGTTTTCCAATACTCCCTGTGGCTGGTTTTCCAGTGGTTCTCAGCTCATGGTGAAATCCTCCAACCAATCAAAATATTAATAATTTAATTTTTTTTTAAACAACTGTAAAACATCGTGAAAATGTATAACAAACAAGTAAACTAACGATTAATCGCCATATTTAATACTTCCAATAGATTTGCATCCATAGCTGTACAAATATTCAGCTTTGTTTTTTGATGCGGATTTTCAGCCATTAATGGATAAGCATTATACATATAAGAATAGATATGCTTTTCAAATTCAATCACTTCATATTGCATTCGACCAAGTTCACGTTTCCATTCATCTGTTGTAAAACGTTCATTTTGTATAATTACCCTTAAACAAAAAGTAAAAATAAATATAAACAATACTGACTGAATGGATTCAACATAGAACTTGGCACCGAAGTACAGCAGTTCGAGTTGCCACGTTCCAAATAGCACACAAAGGTAGACAAGAAGATGAGTGATGAAGAGAATCAATAGAGTTTTGACAAGTATAAGAGTGAAACAGAATGAGTAATGGTAGAAAGGAATATGAAAGATTACACAAGAGACTGAATACATCTGCGTAAGCCATTGACAACGATTTTGATCCATGTCATCTATTGTCTCCAACCATTGATTCTAAGAGTCCCGAGGGCGAGCCCCAACCCAGAAGTCTGCATCTCCCTACCTGACTCAGTTTAACTGTCAAGGATTTCATGGATTGATGCCATGATTTTGTTTGGCCACCACTTACTCTTTTCCAACCTGCACTTATATCAGCTAGTAATGCCCGTCGGGGAAGCGATGGTTAGGCATGGGCAGCACGTGACCTAACCATCTCAGTCTATGTAACTTTATAGCCTCTTCGATTGATTTTCCCTCATTGCCCAACACTCTACGCCTAACGTCAACATTAATTACCTTATTATACCACCTAACGTGAGAAAGAGATCGTAAACATCTATGATCAAAAACAGACAACCTTTTCATGTCTTCAACTCGTATTGGCCATGATTCAGAGCCATAGAGAAGGACGGAGCAAACTGCTGAGCAGTAAACACGTCCCTTGGTTGATAGTCGGATGTCACGCCTACGCCAGAGATGGTGTAAGTTAGCGAAAGCAGCTCGAGCTTTTTGGATCCGTGCTGTGATTTCGTCACCAATCAGTCCATTGGTGCTGATACAACTTCCCAAATAGGTGAAGTGGTTAACATGTTCTATCACTTCACTCCCTATCACTAAGCTAGGAGTTGACGTAGTCCATTCAGTCCTGTAGCAGCATCTTACATTTTACAGGGGCGAATCGCATGCCAAACATACAAAGATTGCTGCTCAAGGTGTTCAGAAGATTCTGCATTTTGTCAGCATCCTCCCCTAACAGGACTATGTCATCTGCATATTCTAAGTCCATAAGACTATTCCCTGGTAACAATAACCAATTTACAGCGTATGATAAACAGATGTTACTCAAAAAACAGAAAGAAAGAAGCAGAATTTACCTGTCGGGCATTAAGACAGATAGATTACATCCATTGCAAGTGTAGTGATTGAACGAACTACCTCTGTATGCAGAGTTCAGGGTTTAACAAATGAATTGCCATTGCTTCTGCAATTTGAAGAAGTTTGACTCCTACACTTTTAGGAAGACAAAGGAGAAAAACGATGCTCTCCCCCGCAGTTCTGTCTTTGAACATCTGATAGATTCCGGACACGAAGTTACACCCCCTCCCGAAACAAACTTCAAAGTCGTCTACAGAATACGAAGTGTACGAGTCAGACTTCTTCAAACTGCAGAAGCAATGACAATTCACTTGCTAAGTCCTGAACTCTACATACAGAAGAAGTTTAGATATGATAGAGAAGATTTGTAGCTCAGGTAGGGATGATTTTGACGTCGTTGTGTTCTCTAAGGTGGCTGGATAGTTAATTTGAGAAGCTTTCGTCACCCCCTATACAAGGCGACATCTTCAGCGCATACTTCAATTTGAATTGAAGTGAGCTTTTAGATTTCTCCACGAGTTTATTAATCCCCTCTCCTGGTGACTTTGGACGTGACTCTTTGGTTGTTTTTGTATGTTTTCACACCTTATAGACTACTTGTATTGGAACTGATTGTTTCTTTGACTCTTTGTGTGTGAGGTTTCTTTCTTATCGGTTGATAAATTTTGCCAATCTCGAGTGTCTATTGATTGATGATTCACTGGAATGCCAAGCTTCTAAAAATTCTCTAGCATTTTTGTTGTGTGTAATATTTGAACATTGTTGCAATCGAATTGATGCCCGTGGTTGTTTGTATGTAGTGATATGAGAGAGTGGATATCGTGTCTTTTGACAGCTAGCTTATGTTCGTGGATACGAAGACGAAGGGGACGTCCACTTTGGCCAATGTAGTGTTTTTCGAAGTTGATGCAATCTATTTTGTAGATGATGTTGGTTTTATCTTCTTTCGCTGTTGAGTCTTTTTGTTGACATAGAGCCAGCTGAGTGAAGTGATTTTGTTGGTTTGTGTTCGACGTCAATTCCTAAAGGTTTGAAGAGTCTTGCAGTGATTTCTGATATGTCCTTTGTATATATGACAGGGTGACTTTGTTTTAATACCCGACAGGTAAATTCTATTTCTTTCTTTCTGTCTTTTCAATAGTATTATTTTGTCTTGCCAATTATAATATTTTATATTTTCAACTTTCCTGTTCTCTACCCCCACCCGATTTAATTTCTACACCTCACTAACACTGTTACTGACTTGACCAACGCTCAATTTCTAGTCATTTATGTTACATCATCCAATTTATCTGCTCACTTTTAGGCATAAACAGACATTGATAAACGATTATCAACTTCAGGTACAGCATTGATATAAAAGTAAAATTTGGGCATACAATATCAATAGTATTATTCCTCTTGGATTCTGAATGGATTATGGGGCGTTAACAACACATCTCCGCTGCATCCTGTCTCGTTGTCAGTTCTTTTCAGCTAACTTCACCATAGCATATAAGCTTTCATTTACCCCTCCTCCTCCTGCTCACACCATATTCTTCATGTCACCCTAGAACTGTTGGCCAACTCGCCGTTTCCAATTTGAGTTTGATGCGTAATATCACCCATCGGTCACCTCAAAGAGTGTGTCCGATCCATCTGAATTTTTGTCTGCATACTTGTTGAATAAAAGGTCCCTGGTTGGTTCGTTCCGAGAGTTATTTCTGGCCAAATGACCATCCGATCTTCAATGTAGAGTCAGCGAAAGGGGGTAGTTGCTGATAAAAATCTGCAGCTAGCTGTTGGGAATGCTCTTCGTAATGTGCTGGTCAAATTGATGACCTCTTTATATAGGAGATTCGACTCACTTGACATTGGTGTTGAAAATCCTAATTTTTTTGTTTTGTTTAAACCTCCGACGGAGTGAAGAAGATTTCCAAACTGATTTAAGACTGCTGATGAAAGTCTGTCCTACCCTTCCGATTCTCCGTCTGACAACCTCCTCCGTCTGTCAGTCTGTCTGTCTCTATTCGACATAGAACTCTGTACATATGTGCTGCAGTTCAAGTCGCCACACTCCCTCCTTGTAGCACACAAAGCAAGAGAAGATAGTAGAAGAAATGCATAATATAGACAGTAAACAGAGGTGAGAGACAAAGGAATAGTAATAACGGAGAACAAAACAGTTTAATTGGAAATAATAAGTCACAAGGAGTGGATGCATCTGCGCCAGCCATTGAGAACGATTTTGAGCCATATCACCAATTGTTTCCAACCATTGGTTTTTACCATCCCGAGCACCCCAACCGGGAAGTCTGCACCTTCCTATGTGGCTTAGACTAATTGTTGTAGATTTCATTGACTGGTGCCATGTTTTCGTTTGACTGCCGCTAGCTCTTTTCCAACCTGACCCTATGTCAGCTAACGTTGCCCGTCGAGGAAGGCGATGACTAGGCATACGTAAGACATGTCCTAACCATCTCAGTCGATGTAACTTCACAGTCTCGTCGACTGATTTCCCCTCGTTACCTAGCACTCGACGCCTAACCTCAATATTTCTCACCTTACTATACCACTTTACACGGGAGATAGAACGCAGGCACTTATGATCAAAGACAGCTAATCTTTTCATGTCTTCTGCTCTCAATGGCCAGGTCTCACAGCCATAAAGGAGGACGGAGCGGAATGATGAGCAGTACACACGCCTTCATCCGTGCTGTTGCTTGTAGCTGAAACGATGCTGTCACAATTGGGAATATCATCAGTGATAGTAGGCAATCTCCTCCTACTCCTGTTTTCCTGTCAAATACTTCGTTGAGTTTTCCCTTGTGGATCGATCGCCTCACACATGGCATTTGCACTTATAGAGCTGATGGATGAGGTTGATAGAGATAGATTTGGAGCACAGCGCAGAATTGTTTAATTACCTCACCTGTGTCATGGATATATAGTCGATAGAAATAAAGCAAGAAGCATAGGAACTGAGGGTTCAGTCCAATACTTCAAGGGGCTAATATTCATCGCTTACATTTTTAAAGCTAAAACGAAATGGCTATCCAGAGATGAATTATAAAGAAAATCAATTTGGTATTTATTATCTATATTGACAAAAAAAAAATTAAGGTCCGGATTTTCAACTCCAATGTGAAGTCAGTGCTACTTACTATACGGATCAGAGACTTGCACTGCGCGTCATAAAGAGCACCTCTAACAAACTAGAGACCTTCATCAACAGCTGCCTTCGCTCAATACTTCGCACAAGATCAGATGGCCGACCAGAAAAGATCAGCAACAGGGATCTCTGGGAGCGAACCAACCAGGAACCGATTGTGAAACAAATAGACAGGAAGAAATGGAGATGGATTGGCCACACTCTGAGGAAACCATCAAGTGACATCACTAGACAAGCCATTGCTCGAGTGGAACCCGAATGGGAAGCGGAGAGTTTGTCGTCAGTGCAAGGACGACATGGAGGAGGTCATGTGAAGAGCAGATGAAAGCATGTGGGCAGACATGGAGCCAGATGAAAACTTTAGCAGAGAACCGAACACAATAGAGACGTGCAACTGAAACCCTATGTTCCTCTAGGAATTAAAGAAAACAATAATCTACTGACATTGACTTCGAGGAATTCAATTAAAGCTGGTCAACCGCAGTTGGTCAACACACATTACGTGTCAGTTCTTCTATATGGGTCAGAAACTTCGCTAGCGCATCACAAAAAGCATTTTGAACAGCTCACTGCAAACTTCCGCCAACAACTGCCCCATTCGCTGCCTCCAAACTGTCAAAATGAGATGGCCAGCCGGAAAGAAAATGCAGATGGACAGGATACACTCTGAGGAGGCCATCGGGTGACACCGCCTGCGAGGCTAACGCTCGAATGGGAAACGGTGAATTGGGTGACGGTTCGCGGGTGACATGGAGGATATAGTATGATGAGGAGATGAGAGACTATGAGAAATGGCAGTTCCAGTTGAAGAGGAGTATAGAGATATGCTATCGAAGCCTTACATTCCACTCGGAACCAAAGGGGATAATAATAATAATAATAATAATAGTAATAATAATAATAATAATAGTGTTCTGTGAGTTTCCTGTATACACTTTAACAATTATCTTCCATAGTCAGGAGATTAATGAAACTATATATATATATATATATATAGAAATTTGAAAGACACATACCTGTAAAAATCTTCATAGAATCTCCCTTGAACATCTTGTTTAAAGGATTGTGTATACGCAGACGGAAGATCTAGAAAACAAACAAAATATAGCCATCCATAATGAAGTAGGCGGTTGTATCATTTTTACCTGTACAAACAAATTAATTGTATGAAAAAATATATATATGAGTGGTGTTCAGTGATGAAAGCCAAATGGGGAACGATAGGTTGGACACATTGGGATTGAGAATGCCATGGAGAGGATCATGCGAGGAGGTCAACTGTGCGGCCAGCTAATCAATTCCGTTATCGTGAAATTGATGTAGCAAAATAACTGGTTACTACCCTTGTCCCTTTTATTTTTCTCTCACAAGAAAGTCAAATAATTGACATGTATGATTATAGGTTACGCATCCAGTGTCAGGTAAGGTCGAGGGGGGGGGCGGCCGGTAAGTCAATCGATCAGGTTATGGAGGTGCAAATCGATTGAGAGGGTTATGACACGTGTTGTACATGTTGAATTACTGCCTTCCTCAACAGGCAATGCTAATTGACATAGGATTGGATTGATAAAGAGTTAGGACTGATCAAAGTAAATTCCATATTAGTTGGTTTAATAGATGCATCACACAATCAATGAAACAGTATTATTTACTGGATGACAAGATTTCGAAGAAAATTTATTGTTCATAATCATATCATTAGTTATAATAACACGACTTCCTAAACTTCAGTTTTATAGTTTTCTTTGTTTTCTCCTATTTGTCGTAGGAGTAGTAGAATTTTACAGATATCTGCCTGGACATAAGTATAAAACTTGGGCACTGTGGTAGAGTATAATTCCATAATGGATAAGAATTTATTTTGATAAATCACACAGTGTAGTACAGTTATATTAACTGATGACGTTTCGAGCACAAACTATTGCTATTGATATGATTATGAGCAATAGTTTGTGCTCGAAACGTCATCAGTTAATATAACTGTACTACACTGTGTGATTTATCAAAATAAATTCTTATCCATTATGGAATCTGCCTGGACAGGTGTTGAATCATTCCTATTACATGTATTTGCAGTTGATTCTGTTATCAATCTCTCCCTCCACCCTGCTCTTACATTAGATTATAAAACTGTCATCTTATCCCATCATCCTATTGTATGGTTGTGTGTAATTGCATGTAGTGCTATAGCTGAACTACTCCCTAGATTTCTTATCTTATTCGGGTCAACCAATCTAGATTTTGCTAGGTTTTTATGCTCTGCTAGTCTGACTGCCACTGTTCTACTACTTTGACCTGACGATCATTGCAGGCCAGGTATTAGATAAACTAAAATATTTTATTTTTAAAGGCTCCACAGGATTGATCCTTTAACTGACAAAGCTTGTTTCTAATTGAGTTTTTGGGTTTGAATGCCACTTTTATTGTTGGTATCGTCACCAATATTATTATTATTATTATCACTATTATAATTATCATTATTATTACAACTAGTAATAATAATATAATGTCATAATATAATGATAACAATAATATAATATCATTATTATTAGTAATAATGATAATTATAATAGTGATAATAATAATAATATTAATGACAACACCAACAGTAAGGAATCTAAATCATCAGTAGTAATTCCATACAAAGAAGGAACGCCGGAAACAAGCTTACGCAGAATTGTTAACAATGCTGGCAGGAATAAAAGTGGCCGGTATTCAAACCACCCACAAACTCAATTAGAAACAAGCTTTATCGATTAAAGGATCAATCCTGTGGAGCCAATAAGAAAAAACCACTTAGTTTATCTAATACCATGCCTGCAATAAATGTCAGGTCAAATACATAGGTCAAAGTAGTAGAACAGGGGCAGTCAGACTAGCAGAACATAATGTCACAGGGTGGAGGGGGAGATTGATAACAGAAGCTTTGTTAATCGAATCAACTGCAAATACAGGTAACAGGAATGATTCAACACCCGTCCACCCAGATATCTGGAAAATTCTAATACCCCAAAGACGACAAACAGGAGAAAACAAAGAAAACTATTAAACACAAGTTTCAAAGTCGTGTGATTATAATTGATATGATTATGAACTGTAATAAATTTTGTTCGAAACGTCATCCAGTAAATAATACTGTTTCACTGACTGTGTGATACATCTCATAAACAAACTAATATGGAGTTACTTACTACCACAGTGCCCAAGTTTTACACATATATTAATATGATAAAAGTAAAAACCTGTCACCACTCCTTGACAGTTGGTTTGAGCTGGCCACGTAGGGAGGTGAAGACTGCTTAGTTGGGGGCTTCTGTTGTTTGTACATAGTTCCCGGAATAGTGTTCCATACTATGAGTCACACTTTTTGTGTGCAGGAGCCAATGATACTAACCAGTTGACCAGGTTGGAGTAGTTGCCGGGGAGGGATTCGAGCCAAGGACCTACCGACTGAAGGTCAAGTACTTACATCAATGAGCCACATTTCGGGATGCCAACAATATATAGATATATAGATAGATATCGATGCGACTGTTCAATTCTCTCACCACGAGTCTGAAGTTCCAGTGACTTTCTGTCTATCACACTTAGGCGTGGTTCATCATCAGCTAGTAGACAATGTTGAAAGTGATAGCTAAGTTGTAATATTCTCTATCATATACGATGGTGGGCCCAACTGTTCCCAAAGACGACCCGGCGCAGCTGAGGGTGGATATACTTCCTTTTGAAATACTTTCATGTAGCCACTGGATCATAGCCTCTGCCACAGAGGTCTTTTCCACCACCTTCACGCTGCGAGGGTGTTCCTCACATAACTGAAAGGGCGAATGCAAACGTCTGTCTACCTAGGCAAGAGGAGTTGGACCACCCTAATTCCATACCTATGGTATACACGGGCTCCAGAATCCGGAAGGGATCAAACAGTGCATAAACCCACTTTTGATTATCGGAGACCATAAGAACGTAGCTTCTGTCCAACGAGGGATAGCTCCTTAAGATAACCACTTGCTTCGGTATGGGCTGTCGGGAAGTATCCCAGCCACTGTTGGTGCCCATAATGCGTCAAGTTACATAGATTGAGATGGCTAGGTCACGTGCTGAGCATGCCTAACCATCGCCTACCCCGACGGACGGGCATTACTAGCTGATATAGGTGCAGGTTGGAAAAGAGTAAGTGGTGCCATGCCAAACAAAAACATGGCACCAATCAATCCATGAAATCCCAGATAGTTAAACTGAGTCAGGTAGGGAGATGCAGACTTCCGGGTTGGGGCCCACCCTCAGGACTCTAAGAATCAATGGCTGGAGACAATAGGTGACGTGGCTCAAAATCGTTGTCAATGGCTTACGCAGATGTATTCAGTCTCTTGTGTAATCTTTCATATTCCTTTCTACCATTACTCATTCATTCTGTTTCACTCTTATACTTGTCAAAACTCTATTGATTCTCTTCAATCATCTTCTTGTCTACCTTTGTGTGCTATTTGGAACGTGGCAACTGGAACTGCTGCACTTCGGTGCCAAGTTCTATGTTGAATCCAGACAGACAGGCAGACAATTTTAATAACCATACTAATGTGTTTAATTAGAAACCTGATAGAATTCTACTGTACAAGTTATACAAAAGAATATTTGAAAAACTTCATTCAATCACATAAAGAAACTAACTTTATACCCAACTTACCATCAATATAGATACGTGTGAAAAATACAACCGTTGTATCATGATTACAGTTATTCTCCTACAAATACCAAAGATAAACCTCCAAAGGACAACCACCACACCTACCGGCCAAAATCTTAGAAATAATTTCGATAGAAATTTAAACGCTTTCTCCAAATGAAGATCCCCATTGTTGTCAAACCACCACATTTCTTGACTCATTTGTATGAAAATATGTATGACAGCTGTGGATGAACGAAAAATTATCTACAAATACGTGAGTAGTTCTCACATACACACACACAAACAAACAAACCTTAGTCTTTGAATCCACATATCCACACGAGTATCTTTCACCAAGTCGCCATAAATCACCTACTTGAGTTCTACAAGTATAATGATGATTTTTAGACAAACCACGCACGCATTCTTACCTCATTTCATTACACGTCAACTTTTTATTTACATGAACAACAGTACCAACCTATGGAATGATTAAAAATTAATCTATGAAAAGGCAAGGCAAAACAAAGCGCTTACTAATTTTCGTGTTATATTGTAGAAATCTCTTCGACTGAAATACTGGTCACGAAAGTATAACTCGACTAAATCCAATGAAACAGTCTTTATATATACATAAAAAGAATTAATTAATCAAATATATACTAACTTCTTTGCTAATAACATTTACAATAACACTTTTATGCTGTTGTAACTTGAAGGTGTGTGCAAGACTCTGTTCAACACTGATAACATCTAACATAACAACAATAAATCAATACGAATGAATAAAAAGTCATATTTCTCACCACGATTTTGTAATTCATCACTAAGATGAGTTACTAAGAACAGTGCATGATGTACATCCTCGGCATGATATACTTCAATAACATCACCGACAGTAATACTGTGACCTCCTCTAGAACTGATAATTACATCTTCTGTACAATTGAAAAAGTAATAATAATGGATATGAACTAACCAGATAAGAAACCGCGTGAATCTATTCGAGGATGATACTGTAATTTAAACTTTTGTTTTAACACCATAAAATCTGAAAGATGAAAGTGAAATTGTTAGGTACATCTTTATATTTATTTAGTTAAACAGAACAATATGATGGAAATTTTTAAGCATACATAGATTAAATCACGTAAAATTCCCATTGTAACATATAGAAAATCAAAACAAAAAGAATGAAGAACAATCATCTCATTCGTGAAGAATTATACGGAAAGATCAAACCAACAGGATCTCTAATACCACGACTTTACGGTCTACCGAAAACACACAAAGCTGGCCTTCCACTCCGCCCTATCTTGGATATGTCTGGATCTCTCTATCATCCAGTAGCTGGATGGCTAGTTGAAATCCTCGAACCTGTCAGGGGACAGCTATCTAATCATTCCCTTCGGGACACCTTCCAATTTGTTGAATGTATACAGGCTATAAATGCGTCGAATAAACATATGTTGTCTTTGGATGTAGAATCCCTATTTACGAACGTTCCACTGACAGAAACCATATGTTTTATATGCAAATATATTGAAGACAACAAATTGAATATAGGGATACAGATCTGAAAGAACTACTTCTGAGATGTACATTGAATGTACAGTTTATTTTCAATGAAGCAATCTACAGACAGAAGGATGGTTTTGCAATGGGTTCTCCCTTGGGTCCTCTCCTTGCAGACTGTTTTATGTCCAGTCTAGAAAATGATCAGCTGAAGCCTATAATCCAAAGCTTTCAAATGTATAAAAGGTATGTAGATGACACCTTTATTATTTGTAATAGTGATTGTAACTTGAGTAATATATTAGATGTATTTAATGGTTGCCATCCGGCGATAAAATTCACACTCGAAATGGAGAACGAGTCTAGCATTCATTTCCTTGATGTGAACTTATCAAGGAGGACCGATGGAACTCTGAAGAGATCGATTTATTGTAAGCTGTCATGGAATGGTCAACTGACAAATTTCTATAGCTGGATACCCATATATATATATATATATATATATATATATAGATTACTGTTATTATGATTACTTTCTTTGGTTGCGAGTAGAATATAGGCCATATACAGCATGTCTCCATTTTACCCTCTTCTTTGCAGTCGTCTTCAGCTGGCTGGCCCCAAGACTGCCCATAGTCCTTCATCTCCGCCTCCTTACACGCACGACAAACTTCTCATTTCCCATCCAGGTTCCATTCAAGTGATGACCTGGAGTACGATGTCATTCGACAGTCACCTCAGACTTTGTCCGATCCATCTCCATTTTCTTCACCATATTTGTTGAGCACAATAGGCTCTTGATCGGTTTGTTCCAAGAGTTCCTTGTTGCAAATTCCTTTGACCGGCCATTTAATCTTCAGTATGCAACCAACGATGGCAGCTATCGATGAAAGTTTGCACTGACCTGTTGGAAGTGCTTTCTGTGACGCGCCAAGTTTCTGACTCATATATAACAGTGTTTTTTTAAGCTGCTGAGTGCAGAAAACTTCTAAACTGGTTTCAGAATGATGAAAGTCTCTGTTGACCTTCTTCATGTCTGGTTTTGATATCTTCATCCGTGTGGCGTGTCTGTAGTTGAAAAGATGCTGGCTGCCTAGCCAGATAAGTGAAGGAAGGAAGTAACTTCATTCAAATTCCTCCGGTTGATAGTGATTGGTGCTAGTTCTTTTTGTTGGTCAATAGGATATCTTCATCACCGTTCTTTTTGCGCTCACTTGAAATCCTGTCTTTACTGTCGACCTCTTCTGACAAGTTGGTGGCTATAAGTCCTATAAGTTCACGAGTTTGTGTTAAAAATTAGACACAGGTCATCCGCGAAGTACAAATCTTCTAGAATCCTTTTATCAGTTCAACTTATAACGCGTTTTCTCGATCCCCACAGTTTTCTGCATAACCCACAAAATGGGTGATAGTGCGCAGACTTGTTTCACTACCGTCTTTACTTGAAAGGGTCTACTGAGTTTTCTGTTGTGCATCACTTGTCGTATACCTGTTGTATGAGGCTGATAACAATTTGGCGCACCGCACTCCATGGTGTTAAAGTAGTTTCTAAATTACTACATGGTCAGCGCTATCAAAAGCCTTTTTAAAGTCCAGGTAGAGGTTTGACTGCGATCCTAGGCTCTGCTTGACGATAATTCGTAGAGTTGCTATTTGATCCGCATATGATTTGCCTTTCCTGAATCTAGCTTGTCCTGTGTTGGCGGAGTTCTGCATCTACTGCATCTTTTAATCTCTCGAGGATGACCCGACTTAGTACTTTACTTGGAGTAAACAAGCATGTGCACATAGGCATATATAATGAAATACCACATACACAATTATACAATAGGTTACGAATAACACATATTAAAGGTTGATTGTATGTTATGGCTGTTTAAAACTTTGTATCTGTATAAAGATTGCAGCGTGAAATCCACTGATGTTTTTTGAGATGGAACAAATTATCAAATGCCAAAAGGTCTTTGATAGTAGCATTCAAATTTCACTAGCGAGTAACTGTTCAGAGTAGCTAGAATTTCTCAAATTGTATGAAATGGTCAGAATGCCTGAACACTTTACTACCTATCCTTAAAACAAGAAATTCAAATTAGAATACAGTTTTATCTTAATACATTTAAAACCTAAGCTATTACAACACCAGTAACAGTCGTTTAAGGCTCTTGGATAATACCAATAGCTAGGTATGAATTTCAGGGGAAATCAATAGACGAGATTGTGAAGGTTAGGACATGTGTTACGTATGCTTAGCCATCGCCTTCTTCGACGGGTAGTGTTAGCTGACTGACAGGCTTAGGTTGGGAAAAAGCCAGTGGTGTTCAAACCAAAAAAGGCTTCATCAGACAATGAAATCTTCAACAGTCAGTTTCAGCCACGTAGGAAGGTGTAGACTGCCGTCTGGTTGGGTCCTCAGGACAGTAACAACCAAGGAAGGCTGGAGACAATTGGTGATATGGCTGGCTCAAAATCGTTCTCAATGGATGGCGCAGATGCACCCACTCCTTGTGACTTATAATATCCAATAAAACTATATGGTTCTTCGATATTACTATTATTTTGCCTCATATCTCTCTTTATTTTCTCCATTTTGCATTTCTTTTACTTTCTTCTCTTGCTTTGTGTGCTGCAAGGAGGGAGTGTGGCGACTTGAACTGCTGCACATCGGTGTAAAGTTGTTCTACGTTGAAACCAGTCAATCAGACCGTTCCATAATTATCACTTTCAAGTACATTTAAAATCCCAAAGCCTTTCTTCTTCGTCATTCATTTAGTTTCTAAAACTGAATAACAGTGAAAGATGTATGGCATATACCAAGTCTTCAACCAGATATCACAAAAGTTAGCAGGACCGAATTCAACCGCATGTGTTAAGGTTCAAGATCGGGATGGGAGTCTGTCTTGAAATTCTTTGTGCTAATACAATAAATGTATTAAAGTTCTTATGTATTCTGTGACAAGAATTCGGTATCGGCATCTAGCAGACTACTTCCATCACCATAAAACATAACTACCTAAATCACTTCCTTAAAGATAAACGACTTAAGGTAGATTTCGAGTGTAGAAAGTACATTGGCCGCTTTGGTAATGGAGTATTTATGCTCACACGAGAAACTGAAAGTTTTTCCTAGATATTTTTTACAAATTTACGTCTAGATGACATGCTTCAACGTTATTCCCATTGAAACAATAATAATCTAAGCCCACGAAGGACTGGTGACTAGGTATGCTTTACGGATTAAGCATCTCAATAAACCAAGGTATGCGACATATTTAAAAATAATTTCATAGAGATTTTCATTTTAACACCGACACCACTATCATGAACAACACTGATAACTTATTAATTAATCACTTGGTAAGAATGTCGTGCAGAATCTATCGATGGGCAAACCATCTTGTCAACATAGAAAAAGCTAAGGAGTTGTGTGACTTTTTGCACCGATTCTTAAGTTTAAAGAGAATATAGAGGGAGACAAAGCTCTCTAAGAGACTGAGGCGTCTCAATTAAGCAAACACAGAAATAAAACTTTAAATGTAAGAGTTAGAAATCACCCAATGACCTAAGTACATACGATACTTTGCCTAAGTGCCTATATTTACAGCCCCATGTGCTAAACTGTGAAAACCAGAGGCCACTACGGAGCTATGTGGAGTGACATAATTCTGAAAAACTTCTTCGGAAGCCAAGCACTTTCCTGCAGAATAAAAGGGACGGAAGACGGTGCTAGTATAAACATTTAGTCGACTTTGTCTTCCAGATTTTCCGGCAAACCGAGGTAAGTAAACCGCGTAAACATCAGGCTCAATGCCTTCTTCCATTATTATTGCTCTTATATTATACCACCACTAGTTATAATTAAAACTAATAGTGGAATTATATTAGCATCCTCCAGAGGTTTGACTTAGTGTGTTACAAAGGTTTCTAGTGAAACCGACACTCACAGAACACATCAGAATCAAAATAAAGCACGTCAGTATACAATATGTCTTATGCATAAGACATATTGGGAAAACATGTTTTTCCAAAACCGAATGTCTAGCTATCCAATTAATAACACATATATAGGTCACTTTGTGTTATGTCATTAGAAACACTGCGAAAACCTGTCTGATTCCAACATCTTCAAAAATTACCCCTTAAGTACAAGCAAATCTTAAAATAAAATACACCTGCGTACCGCTTATATTCGTCCTTCTGCCCTAACCCAAGGTCACTGTAGAATGTTATTTCAAATTTCACTTCATTGCAAATCACTTCGACAGCTGTGTCTTCATGTTCTTATTCCACAGTAGAAAGATGCTCTATGAGTGATTGACAGCAGTTTCCCACTATTTCCTGACAAATATGAGAAAAGTGAAACACCTGAGTTAGAATAGCGCACATGCAGATTTCTGGCCGAGGACAAAACCTTTCAAGCCCTTGTTAAACCTCTTCTAATAAACACCTGTGTTTGTCTAATCTCCCCTTGGGCGATCAAATTGATTGCACGAACAGAACTTCTCTTGAGTGGCGGTCCCTGGTGTTTACGACTAGGTGCGAGAACCAGCATTCCACAGAGACGGTTCCACCTTGGAATTTCAACTGTCCAGCTATTTCTCCTAGAATGTGACTATCTAGTAAAAAGTAAAGGATAAGGTAGATAAGGTCTGCTGAGGCTTTTTAGAAATTCTAACTTCGTGATATGAAATCCTCTCCGCAAATGGTATGATAGGCAGGAGAGATTTAAACTGTCAAGTCTTTCCGGCTGGACTTATCCGACATGTTGGTTGAAATTTCTCTCAGTAAATATTTTGTAAATAATAAAATTGTTTTGTGTGTCATCTGGATTGATAAGAATTCTCATTTCCTGACATGATGTGTTAGTGTCCGCGTCATGCGATCAGACTGTGGTACACTCTTAGCATATTGGTTGCAATGATCAGTGTTTCAGGTGGATTTTGTCAAAATATCGCTATAATGAACATAATGGGATAGTTAGCGGGTAATGCCACCTACACAAATAGTTTACTTCATGTAGAAGCTTCACCTTTCTGCATAGAGTCACTTAATGACTTCACGTCTCAGGATATCAGAGCATCCTATTTTCGTGTGAAGAACAGTCCTATTTAATAATAATAATAATCTACTTTATTCCAAAAACAGCACTTATAATACAGAATGGAATTCTCAGCATTTGTCACAACGCCTTGCATCTGATTTACTCAAAACTTTGAATAAAATTAAAAATTAAAACAAAGGCGACCAGAGGAATTATTACCAATAACAAAACTTATCATTCTGTGTAAACTATTAAAAAAATATAATTATACTTTATTTGAATTTGTCCACGTTTACGATATAAAGTCAAAAATATTCGAAGCACGAATTGAGAGTATTAAATATAATAATAATAACAGTGAGTTTGTCTCAAACAGTATTGTCGACTCAGTTTGGAAATTTTAGCATGTTATAGATTATTGGATCTAATGTTCTGTTGATATAGTATAGTGAAGGGAAATGCAAAATTAATGGTTATTAACATAGCTTAAATTATGTTCACACTTATGAAAAAAATAAACAAAAACAAAAAATTGAGAGGATTATAAATATAAGAAATACAATAACAAAAATGTTTGATGGTGTAAAGATGAAGGAAACGATTATTTAGTAGTGCAAAGAAGGTTAGTTAGTTCATGCCTGACACTATTTTCATCAGATAAAGTACGTGCGAAATATTATACTAAGGCCTACGTGCATAACGTCTTCTGAAAAGACTTCTTGTTTCACCTGAGGAGACAAAAGGTTAGAGCTGCGAGTCCTGCGGTGGATGCTCGTAGTCTGACAAAATTCCCTTAGCAAATCTGTCGCATGACATCAAGTGCCTATCATCAATGACAATGTCAACGATATGGCTCAATGAGATACCACTCGTCCTACTGACAGTCTTCAGAGTTCTACGAAGTATGACATAGTCTTTTTTAAGCAACCCAGGAAAGAATAAGGGTGAACAGTAAAGAAGAATAGGTAAAATACACGAGTTGACAAAATGTAAGAGAAGGCGTTGGCTTATGCCTGAGTGCCTTAACATCTTGATGTACAAAGTCAGACGAAATATTCTTTTAGAAATCACTAATAAATGGGAAGATCAGGATGGGACAGAAGAAAGAATTAATCCAAGATACTTAACTTCAGACTTGATTTCTATATCAGTATCGTCAATTTTGCAAGGAACATAGGAACCAACGGCTTCATTTATATCGGAAACTGAAATTGACAGTCTGACATTTGGAAAGATTTAGTTTAAGGCCGTTAGACGAAGACCACTAACTGACCCCTGATAGAAAGCTGTTCATCATAGTACAGTCTAGCTGGGAGTTAACAGACGTTGAAATAGTTAGATCATCGGGATACTTAACAAAGTTCATTTCATCAGAGTTAGGCAAGTCGTGCAAGAAGAAAGAAAACAGAAAAGGAGAAAGGACAGCGCCTTAAGGGACATCAACCTCAGTAAACAACGAAGTGGACGACTTTCCCTGACATGCAGTGTACTGCTTTCTCCCTGCGAAATAAGAATGCAGCCACTGGAGAACCCAACAGTCAGTTTGAGTTTCAGCAAGCTTGTTTAACAAAGTGCCCTTAGGTACTGAGTCGAAAGCAGATGTGTAATCTAGGAAGGTGCAGCGAACAAATTTAGCCCCCTTGTCTAAGCTGGAGACAATGTTATGATACATGACAGCATCTAAAGTACTTCTACTGTGTTTATAAGCGATATGCTTAGGGTCGTTAAAGGCTTTAAGTTAAGGTTGAAGATTAATAAAGAGTAACTTTTCCATAGCTTTTAGAAAAGGGGAGGTAATAGCAATAGGTCTAAATTTAAAACATGTTGCAGTAGACGGCTTAGGTAAAGGTACAATTTTAATGTCTTTCTAGACGGCTGGCACGATATTTCTGGAAAAAGATTCATTAAATATGTCCATGAGAGAACAACACAGGATATCTGCACACTTTTTAAGAATAACACTAGGCAAACCATCTGGACCTAGGCTACAAGAAGGGTTCAGAGACTGGAAACATTTTAGATCATCATTTGTATTAAAATCAGGGAAGCAGGTTTCATTAACACTTGTAACACTAGAAAGCTTGGTATTTGTGGGAGAATGTATGAAAGACTTGTTTATTGTTCAAACATGAAAGGAAAAGGAATAATATTCATATGCTTAACACCAATAATTTCTTTGAAAAGTTTCCGTATATTCGAGGCATTTTACAGGACAAAAACTTTTGGTCGCAAATTGAGTTCAATCTGTGCATTTCGGACTTTATTAGGATGGTAATTCTTTTCAAACCAGTATTATCCTTCATTTTGTATAACTTTTCTTTTTGCCTGCGAAGCTTTTTAAGTTTAGCGGAAGAGAAACGGTCAAATCTGATGAAGAGTGTTTCTCTGGGACAACAGAGTCAAGTCAAAACTTGAGATAACATGTAATATTTGAGACGGTGTCATCTAGACAGCCTTCATTAAACAAGTCCCTCCTTGTGTCTTGTAGCATGCTCCTAAGATTCTGAACATTCTCTTTAGAGTGACATCCATGTACAGTTTTCTTGGAAGGGTGTGGAAATGTTCTCTTGTGTAATTTTGCATAAATTTTAGGTAAAACCCGTACAATGCAATGATCTGAGTTAAACAGTAGGGCTCTTTTATGAGCTTCGTATATTCCGCAGTCATTTATAAATACAAGATCAAGAGAATTATCCAGTCGGGTGGGAGAGTTAACGACATTTTCATGACCCAACACTGTGAGGAAGCTGCAGTCACATGAATCAAAATCATCTGTCACTACGGACAGTGAGTTTCCAAAAGAGGCGCCAGCGAAAATAGTGAATTCATCAGCCAGAATAGATAGTTCTGATGTGCTACAACAAGGTGTGACATACATGTTCGTGATATAAATGAATTTGTGTTTAGATAGGTGTTTAGGTCGACATTTGACAGTTATACAGTCAATATTATCATTTGAGAATTTAAAGCAGAAGATGTTGGCAACAAACCACCACCTCGCTTCTTCCTGGAACTACTTGGGTCTTGTCTGTACATATTGAAACCATTCAGTAAGATTAAATTGTCATCATATGAATCGTGGAGCCAGGTTTCTTGAAGCGTTATCACACCTGTATTACGGTAAATATTTGAACATAATAGAGCATCCAAGTGGTTAATCTTGTTCGATAATGACCTGCAATTTGTGCTCACAATAACAGGAACAGTCATCTGATGCATTGGAGTACACTTTAAGGATCTTCGCCAACCACCAAGATGCTTTTTCTTAGGGTTATTATATAGCCGTAAATCATCAGGTTGGAAATATTTTAAATAATCGCGAGAGTAAGTAATACGATTTGGACACATAATTGAATACTAGAAACGAAATAAATCCAATTAATCAGATGCAATATAAGTGACGGAAAATTTTGGTGGCCCAAGGTTTAAGCAGGCCACCTATTTGACAAAACAATGCTATCACTACATGGAAATCATTTATAAATGCTAAAAGAACCTTCTGTGGGAACCTAATTAAGATTTAATGTATACGAGTCTTTCACCTTATATATGTGGGGACAGGAATTATGGTAAGTTGAAATGTTATTTCGAAGTGAACTTAATATATATTTGTACTGATTAGCGCAGTGTAAGATGGGTCGTGTGGATTCAATGCATAAAAATACCTCAACCCTATTGATATTTTGCCGTTGTGTGCTTAGCTAACTGCTGGGCTAACAAATGTAAGTGGTTCTCATGATTGTAGCAAGTGCAGAGCAGTAGGGAATGTAAATACTCGTTTATATATTGCTTAAAACATCGTTTATGGTAAACTAACTGGCAACTCTAAAGAATAGCAGCCCAAACCCAAACTACCTTGCGAATGGACAAATAACCTTGAGCAACCAACCAGGTGACGCCATATCTTCCAGACGTATTTATGGGTGCTTTATACTTTTTGCATCGCAAATTCCCCTCAAAATTTTGATTCAACGTTTGCGTTGCATTTTTGCGTGATTCGTTACATAAAATTTATCTTCTTGTGATCCTTGCACAAGTACTCTACTTCCTCCATACATATAACCATTGACTCTTATAGCAAATAGTTATGGTTAATCAAAGTAAAAAGCAACGAACCCAATCACCTGTAAATCTGATGACTAATTTTACGTCCTTGATTGCTACATCAAGC